TAATGGAAATGAATGTGTAAAATCGTTTGATAATTCCCGCAAAAACGAAAAACCGTGTTTACGATGAAAAGAGACTATATATTATTCGAAAATCAGCCGAAAATGTATTCGAATATTTGATTCGTTTTGGACAACCCTGTCTACGAACCACAGTCTTCTTTTCTACAATACAACAATAATTTTCGACCCAATTCTTTAAAAAGGTTCGCCATTCCTGCTAGACTAACCCATCAAATTGCGTGTTCCCTGACTACTACATGAAACATTAGCGTTTTCTGTCCTGTAAAGTTCAAAAACAATTAGGTTGAACATTTTCAGTTGCAGATTAGTAGTAATTTGACTCCAGTGTAAATGTCGAATATTCAGGGAAGTATTTCACTGGCTATATTTCGCTAAATGTCCGTACAATTATAGAGACCCTGCTCAGCGCAGAATGTTTTCAAAACATTTCGCCTATAAGTTTTTGAAAGTATAATTTCATTTGATTTCAATTGAAAATCTAGAAAGGCTTTTTTGTATCTTATACTCACCAGAACAAATATTACAATCATTAGATATGAATATTGAACGTATTACTAGCTCAAAATTAATCCCTCATCAAACGCATTTGAACGCGAAATAACGGTGCACGAAACTACGCCAGTTATAAGCACCATTAAATATTAATCAATGCGGATATATATAGCACCAAGGTCTATCCGACCCTATTCCAAACAGCACGGAAAATTCGTCGCAAATGCGTCTTTCCTTGGAATTCAATTGCAACAGAGAACAAGACTTGCGTTACACGTAACACATTTATTTATAAGTTGCTCCTTCGCTATCCAGTAAGACATGGGTTGGATTCTGTACCAAGTAATGGTAATTATGTTCCTCAAGAAGTAGAGCATGCAAGAAGATTCCTAAAAAGTCAAACTAGTCTTCGACATTTTCTTTCTGAAAAACGATAAAATGGATGAATTTGGTGGTTTCCAACATTTTGTGTTGAAATCTTCTATTAGTTGGTTTTTGAACTGTTTATACCAAAATCCCTATGTTTAATTACCTTGCCTTTTGTAGATTCTTTGCCAGTGTTATACAAAAGTCGCATTTTCATTTTTACGCAGTTCAAATAGTTTGTCGCGTTTTCATGAATAATATTATACAAAAGTGAGTAATACTACAACGTATATTCCTATTCAAAGACTCTCCTCTAGATAGGAATTCACCCAATATCATAAAAATCATTTTATAGCATAATATATCGAACACAATTTTACATCAAAAGGTTATATTCAAATTATGAAACCAATAAACTTCGAAAGAAATTTTGAGAATTGAAATTAACGAAACACGGAGAATGAACTCTTCATGCAGTGTGATCGTGAATTATGCCAAAAATATTTTAAAGCAAAACAGGATTCTTCTACATATATACTTGAGCAATTTAAAATATTTGTAATTGAAAAGAATTGTTTAATAACAGTATTTGGAATAGAAATATCGCAGGCTTCGGGGTGGCGTAAAAAAATTGTAGGGACAATAATACCAGGGAAAAACTGAAATTTCCATGACGAAAGAAATAAAACATATGACCTCATAAATGATGGCACGATCCACAATGCAGACCTCTTGAAATATGCGCAACAAGCTGGCGCACAACCTGAACTCAGGTTGTGTACCAGGTTAGGGTTCAGGTTGTGCGACATCTTGGTGCGCATACTTCAGGAGTACCTAAAACTTGATGAGAGAAACGTAATAATATATCAAACATTAAAAGATTGTATTAAAATTATTAATCAGAAAAATATAAAAAAAATGTTCAAGACTTGATGAGAAAAATGTAATAATATATAAAACATTAAAATTAATCATAAAATAAAGACACGATGTAAAATCGGACAATACCTTTTAAATGAATTTTAAAATGTGAAACACTGATCAGATTAGTTCCTTAAATTTGACAATGTTTGTTTCCAAATCTGACACGCATTTCGCCATCCTTAACATGACACCCGTCAACCCACTGCCCTATTTCGCCCTCCTTAATCTGACACGCATCGACCATATTTCATCATCTCTAACCTGACAGGAATCGACCCTATTTCGCCACCCCCAATTTGACACGCTTCGTCCGCATTTCGCCATCCCTAATCTGCCACGCTTCGACCGTATTTTGCCATCCCTAACCTGCCACGCTTCGACCGTATTTCGGCATCCCTAATCTGCCATCACGCTTCGACCGCATTTTGCCATCCCTAATCTGCCACGCTTCGACCGTATTTCGCCATCCCTAATCTGCCACCACGCTTCGACCGCATTTTGCCATCCCTAATCTGCCACCACGCTTCGACCGCATTTCGCCATCCCTAATCTGCCACGCTTCGACCGCATTTCGCTATCCCTAATCTGCCACGCTTCGACCCCATTTCGCCATCTCATTTTGACACTCATCGACTGTCTTTTCCCAGCCCGAATTTGACAGGTACTAATCCATTTCATCAGCCCCAAATCTAAACACTTCGGCCATATTTCTTTGTAATTTTGAGGCAATTGTTTATTGTTATCTGTATACTGAACAGCGCATTATGACAGTCGATTTGGCAAAAACTGACAGCCATCGACCGCATTTTGCCATCCCTAATCTGCCACCACGCTTCGACCGCATTTTGCCATCCCTAATCTGCCACCATTGGACCGTATTTCGCCATCCCTAATCTGCCACGCTTCGACTGCATTTTGCCATCCCCAATTTGGCTTTTCGTCCCTATTTCGCCATCCCTAATCTGCCACCTTTCGACCGTATTTCGCCATCCCCAATATGACTTTTATGCTACCAACCCTCCTCAGCGTATTCCTAACGCTTAGCACGAGCCACACCGCCGCTCTTGCTCTCTCAACTTCTGTCGCTGGGCTGACGTCGGTCGCGTTTTGTCGTGTCCTCTGTTCTTGCTGTGTTACGTGTTATATATATTGTGCAGTTGCCGTACAATAAACAACCAATCCAGAACCCTTGAGTCTTCGGACATATCTACAACGACTGTAACCAAATCTGTGACAGTAGTTTTTTAAGTATTGTTAAGGCACATCTCCCTTCGCATCGTCATGATCGATTTTGTGCATTCGGGACGATTGACTGGCTAACTGTATCTGTACTTGATGGACCGGTCGTTGTTTATGCTAGGCACGAGCTCCGTGGGCCATGATCATATATGAAATTTAAAAAAAAAACTGGATGGGCGGATCACTCGCACATAAAAAGATTATTTAAAATACATAGCTATATCCATGCCTGACAAAAGATATTCGTGGTCTCTCATATGCATTAGAAAAGATTTTAGTGCTGTCGTTGGGGATAAATATGAAAATCCCATTTTACTGTTCGTGAATCCACATAAAATATAATACGCAGTCTTATATATAAGCAATTTATGTCTGAAAAAAATTACACTTGTTCAATGTTTGAACAAAAAAAAAAAACACAAAGATATTTATTCAAGCACAGTTATTTACAGAAAAAAGGCTGATTGCGAACCCAAACAGATTCCCAACTTTTGTTATTCTCTTGTTAACAGGTATGTTGGGTTGAAATTTGAAGACTTCTCGGTGTTGGAGTTGAAGCAAGAGCGGTATTTTCCAACTCCCGGAGTCTGAGTCAAAAAATTTGATATTTTGACGTTGGGGATCGGGCTCAGATTCCAAATTTTCTAAACGAGAGGAGTCGGACTCAAAATCATTTTACTGAGAACCATTTTGTATAACTGAGAGTCGAAAGATGATGGAACTCCAGGTGTACTGCATAGCGCTGCTTGAGAGAGTTATAAAGTGCGAAACAGTCAATAAATTTCAGCATAAGTATAGGTTTACTTTGACTCAATAATCAGCATAAAGGACAATTTCAAATTAAACTGTTAAGTTTTCAGGTATACCAATCAAATACTAAAAAAATATACGCTGAAGAGCCCGGAACATCAGAAAATATAAACGTGGACTATAATTTAGGTCATATATATGAGATCATATATATTTTAAGCTGGCATGAATGCGGGAGTGATGTGCCAACCAAGTTAGTGTCTAACCACAGTCAAGTTAATTTTTCCATTCAGCTAAATAAAAACCATTATAAATGCAAAATTACGCCAAATATAATTAATGGTAAGTTACACGCATAACTGCGCGTATTGGATTGTTTACGCTGTTCTACGCGCATTTCCGTCGAGAAAAGTAACATTTTTTGCATTGGGGGGGGTTTGTGCAGTAATAATTAGAGCTGTGGCGTCATCAAAATCGGTAATTGAAGCGTTGAACATGATAATTCTGTAAATACAATTGTGAATTTCAGAGTAACCATTCTTGCTATAATAGTCGTTTTGATATTGTTCTGTTGGAAAAAAACTTTACGAAAACGTTGAAACAAAAATTAATTAATTAGGAATTAGTAATTAACCCTCTCCTGTACACAGAATATCTCAAGGTCAAGGTTTTTATTAGAAATTTTCAAAAATTTTTCGCATAAAATTTTTTTTTGGAGGAGTGTGTTTTAAAGATATATTGATGAATAGAATTCTAGCACACGATTTTAAAAAGACATGAGTGAAGCTTTAGGGCTTAATGGTTGACAAAAAAAAAATGCATGGGTAGGGGTTTACGCGCCGAGAAGGTTAACCTCAAATGATAAATAAACATTTCAGATAGAACTATCATATTAGACTGACCTCTGGTAAACATAATGGTACCAGGAAAATATGGTTCACTATGTTGGACTATTTTACATTGAGTCTCTATATCACACAACATTTGCTATTAATATAAGCATCATATAATGAAGCATTTAAATGTTAAAGCAAGAGAGCAATTACAGATAAGTATGAAATATTTTGAAAAAATCGAACTCTACCAGTTCAATACAGAAAACACAAACCATAGCTTTATTACACTTTTGCAATATTGACCGACAATGCCGCATTCGCTCCACGAATACTGAGGCAATAAGTGAATAATCAAAGTGGTATAGTGGGAAGTGGGAAGCTGGTATATTCAAACTGTAGCACCAGATCACGGCAGTGGAACATGAAATCTTGATATAACAGTTCAAATTCGAAATTAAACAGTAAAGATTCAAGCATACAGATTTAACTTGAAACTTTTGAATTGACATTACAAATTGAGTTGAGTACTGAAAAAAAATATGCTAAAATTTTTTTTATATTTTAACGAAACACTAGAAATGATGAAAGTGAAGAATAATTGGTCAGTTGGGAGCTAGTGCCACTAAAATTTGGTGATAGCTACCACTCAATTTTTTATGGTAGGCTTGACTATAGCTCTGTCAGATTGCCATGGCTTTAGATCCCAAGCAGTATTTGAAACTTGCATCCACAAAATGAATGAAGCTAGATTTTGCTCCAAAATAGGTTATTTGAGAAATCTAGATAAATTGAATTATAAACTACTCAAACTCAAATCAACATTCATATTTCATATTATCTCATAATTTTCACAAAATCTCAAAATGAGAAAAAAACATAATATTCATCTATTGATAGTTTCACTGGAAATCTTCATTTGTAGTCCGGGCCAAATTACTTCATGTACGAGTAAACTATAAACACCATGAAGATAACAGCCACAACAGCGAGACATTGTCGAACAGTGTCGTATTTAGTCTTCTTTGGTTTCACAGGAGGATCTTTATCGTCATCTGTGAAGGTGAAAAAATATTATCACCAACATCCTGCATTGGCGGAAAGTCAAGCAATTGCACAGGATTATCCCCGAAAGGATTCGGACCTGTGAAATCACACAGGGTAATTCAAAATGGCGAGCGTATTATTAACACTTATCACGATGTGCCAAACGTCACATAATCAGAAGTAAATTTAATTTTATGATGTGAAAATTTGATTTCCTCTGACTATGATATGTGACTCAATGTGAGTTTGTAGATTTGAATCCGTTGAAAAGATAATGGTCAGTTCCCGGTTTCTCCACCATGAGTCCATGCATCAGTAACAAACAACTGGTTAACGAATCCTATACTTGACATGCATAAAATGTAACTGGCCAAGAGGCCATGGTACACACTACAAATAAGCCGTCTTATCAGCTTTCCTCCTTCAGAAATAAATAGAAAAATCCTGAAAATTACCTTCATCTGTAGGTGGTTCCCCACCCCCATTATTTTGATCTGCTTCTCTTCTCCTCTGTCTCACATCATGTTCAATAATTCCTGGGTCAATTGGAGGTGCTTCTGGGGCTGAAAAAAGTCCTCAGTGTAGTTAAATAGATTATGGATAATAAAGTGTCCAAACAGACATGAAAGACTAGTTAAATTTTAGGCTCTGGATATTTGCAAAACAACTTTGTGGAAATGGTCTGTGAGCAAAGTTATAGGTGAGAGTTTAGATACTCCTGTAGTATGTGTACCAGGTTAGGCTTAGGTCATAATTTTATTCAGATTTTCCTTATTTTAGTTCTATTACGATTTCGAAGACTATCTGTGTTAGTCAAGTGAATATACTCCGCCTTCAGTCCCTTTACACAACTTGATATGAAGTAGGCAAACAAAATTAGTTATCTCCATATTGGTACACATACTTCTGAAGCGCCAGAGTGTGTCCAGTACATATGATATGTCAGGAAAACAGCTATGAGGTGGTAAATCCCACATGACTGAATTTATTGGAAAAACAAACTTCGAATATAACTTCTTTTGTCTGGTAAGTAAAGGAGTGCGCACTGACAACCAACAGAGTTTGATGCTTGGAAACCCAGACAATCAGCATCATAATAGCAGAAAATGATGAACGCAGACTCCGCTGTTCGCAACAAATATATATTTATTACTTACCCGGACCGTTATAGTCAGGGGATATCTTTTCACAATCTGTCCCTGTTGGAAGAGCTGCAACATTTGGCTGATGTTCTTCACGATACTGCTGTGATTCAACCTGAAAAACATTTAGATTAGGTAGGACTGAGATTCATCATATTTATCCAAGGGAGAGAGGGAGGCCAATAAGTTGAATGAATTATACCGCGACCATGGCCTCTCATCCCATTGCCAGTCCATGTCGATGTGGAATAAGATAGGATTTTTCATATTATCTTGGGGGAGAGCAAAACCAATCAGATGTCCAAACAACGCCCGTTTACCAATCCCTGTCAGTCAGATAAAAGATAATTTAACAAATTTTTGTTCTTGATGCGTGGATTTGATGGTGGAAGAATTCCTAACGCTACGATAGACGGGAGTCAAACATATCTCTTGCACAAAATTATTCAATTTGGAATTCAAACCAGTCTAGCAACATAGGATAATTAAAATTGCAATGTCACACAAGTTTCTACTGCAGGTGTGGCAAATTAGAGCCAGCGAACTATAATTGGGACAGATACTAAGCAGGGGTGAGTGTAGCATAATCAGGGCAAGTGTGGTGAAAAAAAAAATGCAATACAAGCAGACTAAACTTATAGTAATATCAAACCTCTACACCCTCATTGACTTGAACAGGTTCAGAAACCTTCTGTATTTCCTTCCCTTGTGATCCTTCAGGTCTCTTTCCTGCCATTTTCCTATTATCGATCTTCAACTTTCTCGAGCCAAGTAATGCTACTCCAGCATTAACGTCACCATGAAAAATGATTTGACGACCACCTGGTGCAACCTTGGGTTGCTCTGTAAAAGAGAAGTCTTATAAGTCATTACAATATTGACCTAAGACCCCATTATGTCAGCTAGCATTGCAGGTTGAAAATCTCGTGGAACAACTTTCATGCCCATTAGGATAGGCAGCAGAGCGGCTTAAAGGTTATCGGTCTTCCCTGTTGTCAACGTACAATGCTTTAAAAAGAAACTCTAATCAGACTTGAAAATTTAACCGTCTACGGTTCAACTTTCGCACCTATTTAGGCGTAATATTATGAGTGGACAATGCCAGGTCAGTAACAGAGGATTTGCGTCATCTTCCAATTTTATATCTCACTTCGCATGCTCACTTTGATCATTACAACCATGAAGTTTTATAACTATTCCAAGTCATTATATACCACTAGTTCTCAAACTGGGGTCCGCGGTCCCTTAGGGGCCCGTGAAGCGATTTTAGGGGGGCGGCGAGACAACTTTAACCTCAGCACAGAAGCACTTTGATATGAAGTAAAATTTTGATGTCATGCTTTTACAGTGTTTCGTCGAAGCACCAAAGACGTATTGTTTATGGAAGGCGTGAGGGTCTGGTTGTAAATTTTCACAGGGTAATTTAAAATAAAACATAAATTTAGATATAACGATTCATATGTAAAAATTGATTCTGCCGTGATAAGTTCTGGAGGAAATAAACACACAGTGGCACCGTCCTATCCTGATTTCGCTAAGATGGAGCTAAAAATGCTTATTCCATTTGCAACAACTTACGAATAGGAGACAGCTTTTTCTACGTTACATGCTATTAAAACAAAATGTTGAAACAGAATGAACGTGAGGCACGATATGAGAGTTGCATTATCCAAAACAGAACCCAATTTAGAAGTGGAAACTAGTAGGAGCCAAGCAAGCGTACCCATCTCATCGAACTGTTTTAATATCATTCAATAAATGAATGTTGATGTACCGCGTTGCTATTTGCTTTCATTTAGTTAGTGGACCTCGAGTAATCAGAAAAATTGAAAGGGGACCGTTATGCATAATTTTTCAAAAAGTTTGAAGAATCACTGGTATACCATTCAGTACTATTTGCATATGAGGGCATCAAGATGTCCAAGAGTATCGGATCCAAATAAAGTGTTGTTTGAAAGAGTTCGGTATTTTTGCACCACTCCAAACTTCATTACAAAATGAAAATTCTCCACGCACAAGCATAGCTCTCAGTTTCGGATTCTATAGGGAAAATTTATGAGGGAAAATTTCTTGCCATTGGTGGTTCATATAAATGCTGATTGGCAACTGCTGCTCAAGAAGCCGTATGATGTCATGCTACTAAGCCACCACCCTACCAAGAACTGTACCTCCAGTCCAAGCTTCAGCTTTCTTCTTTCTCTCTTCTGCTCTTTCAAGTTTTTGTTCATAAGTCAACTTTGCTGAGGAAAAATGAAACCAAGTATTATTCAAAATTGTAGTGCAAATGTCGAACCAAAGCTATGAAATACACATGCACTTAAGTAGGCTATGACAAAAATACAGTCCAAAGAGTTTATACAGCGGTGATAAGTTAGCAATAACAGGTTGAAAATGTTCAAGGCAATTTTTTTGGGTATACTATTAAATTCTCACCCAACATCAGGAGCGATCGAATACTCGAGACGTGGCGATAAACCGATCGATCGCGATCGACGTATGGGCCAACCATGATGTATATAATAACACTCACGTCTATTCCTGGGTGATTCATCACCACTGTATCGTCTATTGTCGATTTCAACTTCCTCTGCATTTTTCAATAAAACGCCGGTATTGAGTTGACCACGAAATTCAATCAGGTCTGAGGGCCTCCCATGTCCTGGAAATATGAGAGATCAATCAGAACATTCGGCGGTTGTGCTAAGCATTGAGAATGTTTTTGCCGTCACACTGCTGATCCATATCTCGAGTTTGCATGTCCGAATACCATTGGGAATAATTATGTGCTGGACGACTGCTAAACTCCCCACCTAGCGTGGTTCAAATAACTGCTCAAATAACCATATTATACAGAACAGGAAATTTTTTTTAGTATAATTAACTCATAGTCATAACCAAAGTTATTTCAGTAACCCACCAACTGGGTGCATGATAATTTAACATTCTGTTGGTCATAATCAGATACCCTGCAACTGATGACATCACTGGACATGCTAAGCCATCTGGGAAAGAATAGTTGCCAGAAAATGCAACATTATCATTTATATCAATATCAAAATATGATAAAAAATTAATTAAAAAAAAATTCTGGCAATGGTTTGATAAAGAAACAGCTCACCAACAGCACCAGGCTGTCCCAATGACTCCTCTTTTCCACCAATGTTGTAGGATTTCTCATAAAAAGGTTGGACTCCAGCGCTGGCCTCTTCCTGTTTCCTCATTTGAGAGATTTTATAAACAGGATTAAGAGCCTGTTTGTCAATGGTGCAGTAGGAAATGTGGCCTAGAAGAAGTTGATATTGGTTATAGCCATAAAAATGGATATATGAAGATGTAGGAACAAAATACCTCATTTCATATTCCACAAAAATGTGAGTCTTATTTCAAGATTTTATTACATATTTGCCTCTCATAGATGGAATAATTTATTTTAGGTGAGTGAACATGTACCACCTCTTCTTGGCAAAACTTTCCATCTCAAATACATTCTGTACTTTTTAAACCTTATCTAAGGAAATGTTTGCTCTCCTGACTTCATAATCAGTTTTTATTTATTTGTTTTTATCAATCATTTTATTGTTATGCTGATTATGGAGCCGAAATAAACTTTTCATATTATTATTATTTTTAAGCTCCTGAGAGTAAAGTTGATAGGACGGCTTAATCATACGATAGGATTTACATAATAAACTCGGGGTGGAAAAAGTCGATAAGATGACTTAATTGTAGGATTTGATTTTCATGAATATCCCATCCCTCTCCCAAGGGATAAATATAAAATGCATTCTTCTCTTAGACTTATTCCCCGCTAAAACATTCGGCACTCCAGAAGTATGCTTACCAATATGGAGGTAACTGGTTTTGTTCGCCTACATCAAGTTGTGTGAAGGGACTGAAACCTATGGGCAGGGGGTATATTCACTTGACTAACACAGTCAGTCCCCGAACTCGTAATAGAACTAAAATAAGGAAAATCGAAATAAAATTATGGCCTGGTACACATATTACGGGAGTACCAAACATTCAAACTTCATTCCTACCCACCTTGATATGAAGAAAGGAATTGTTCATCCACATTGAAATGTGTGTTTGTCATTTGTTGGCCAGGAGTAATATTGAACGCAATCTCATCCTCAAACGATGCTGTAAGTGGTTCCAGAGTCTTGATAGAAGAAACGAAGCCTTCCTTCTTGAGTCTGTGACGCAAAGAAAACTTAATGTAATTTTTATTTTACATTTTCAAGGATTCAAAAGTCTCACTGCACTTCATTCGGATAAGGCAGGGGTGTGCAACTTTTGATACAGGAGGGCCAAATACAAATAATTAAGTGAAACCGCGGGCTGCATTTCAATCTTCATTTAACATAGTCTTTCTAGTAGTTTCAGGCACAAGAAATTTAGTTATTGATCTTGTGACATGCGTTGTTCGCTTTCGCACAAGTTAGCAGTTAGGGCATTGTAACATCATTTATAATGATTTGGACTCGGGTATACACAAGAGGACTATAATTACTCGCACATACCAAATTGAACTAAATTTAAAAAGTAAGCCGCATTTGGCCCGCAGGAGGCACAACACTGCGATTGGTAAGACATTGCCTGAAAAACTTATTACACCTTGGGTGAGCATGGGCCTGCAGGAGAGATGAGGCAACCTGCAATGCTGGTTGAATCCAATTCTGTAACCACTAAGCCTTCGCATCTATCAAATGTTGGTAGACCTAAATATTTGTAGTAGTTCCTATTTAATAATGTCACCTTTATTTTTGGACGGGACCGATTGGAGCCCTAAATGAGTTCAGTACACTGACCAAGTGTTTTTTAACCAAGAGGGAATTTCTCTCTGGGAAAAAGATGGTACTCCCGAACAATGTTCCCTCTAATTTTTTGTAGTATGTGTGCGCAGAAATTTTGGTGTGTGCGCACTTTTTTGGAAATGACTAATATTTGTGCAAAAACCAATGAAGAAATTTTGGCGTTCTAACCAGGTAATAAGTGGGCCAACAACAAACTTTCTCAACCTGCCAACCGAGCACATTGTTACATTACATCGAAATACGCCTGTGCGCAGTAAAGCTATGCGTGTGCGCAGCCTCTGAAAGCTGTGTGCCCGCGCGCGCGCGCACACGCGCACACCTTAGAGGGAACACTGCTCCCGAAGTATGTGAACCAAGATGGCAGACACCAGAACGTATGAGTACGAGTTGAATATCACACAAGCTAATGAACCATTTAACATCAAATGCAACAGTTTTATGGACAGTGAGAGGGAATGAAGAATTTCGAAATAGGTTGGTAAAAGGAGAAATTACCTGTGCAGAAACACGTTTTCGATGGCTTTATCAGCGAGGCAGAATCCCATTGCAAATTTTCCATCTGCATTATTGAACAGAAAGCAGGATATTTTGAATTGGATATCTGGCAACCTATCTTGAGATATGTATGCTGTCAGGTTGCTAAGTTCCCGATAATGAAGTTCCAAGTGTCCTTCATGTGTCAGAATTGGACGGTCCAACTCAATCCACTCTCCTTAATACAAAACAAATAGATTAGGCGACTTAATCTGCTATCGCCACGTGACTGTAATTTAAGGCATTGACTTAATGCATTATTATTATGCCTATTCATTGTTAGTTCGACAAATCTGAAACAAACACAAATTTTTGACAAAACTTTGATAAGCATTCAAGAAATGAAACTTATCAAGTCATGAGATTTGTTGAGGGCCGCAAAAGCTGTTGCTCAGGCTGCTTGAAGTCTACGAGGAGATTTTTGTTTTAAGCAAACCCCAGACTAATATTAAATTTTTTTGCAAATCATAAAATTGCTTCAATCTCCTATAAGGGCTTTAAAAGCTCACGTACTTCCTTCTTGAAGAATTTACTTAGAATACAAGTCAAATCTATTGGAAAACGCTTATTTATAATTTATATTTTTCACTCCAAAAAAATATCCACAGAATTTGTAATACATAAGGCCTTGTTACTATTTAAAAGAAATTATTCAACATTGCCTAAATATGACATCAATACAATAAAGTCAACACTTTAACCCCGACATGGAAAAACCACGTCCCGCGGGCCAAATCTGGCCTATTTGGTATGTCAATCTGGCCCGCATGATGCTGCCAAAACCAAACCAAAACCAAAACCAAATTCTGTTTTAGCTGAAAATAGCTCAAGGAATATGTGAAGATTACGATTAAATTTAGTTTTGGGATGAGGCTTATTATTTTCCACTTTTGCTTTTGTAACACTGTTGATATTGTTCATAAAATGTAACTTTTTATGTCACATCTGCATGGCCCGTCAGTCTAGATGAGCAAAATTTGGCCTCTGGTCCAAAAACCCTGCCCACCCTTGCTTCAACAACTAGTGCATTGCCCAAATATTTAAAGAATTAAATTTACCTTCTGATTTACAGTAAATCCCAACATCGACAGAAGCTTCGGTTGAGCACCAGGTTGGCAGAGTGATCTTTACGTCCTTTCGACCTTGAAATAATTATTCGTAAAATTAGAATATTATAAAGACCTACCGCGGCTCAGCGATTGAGAGTACGCTCCAAAATAAAATAACTGGCTAACTAATCCTATACCCGACATGAACTCCTAACCGGACAAGAGAGTGTGTTAAGCCGTCTTATTTTTTCCTCTCAACCGGGATAAATATGTGAATTTTATCTTATCCTACCAAATAACAAAAATGTCCACGAGTGAACAGTTGTCAGTTTGCATTCAATGCTAATTCCAGTTTTTCTGGCTCAACTCCAGTTGGTTTGCAACATTATTAGATCATCTTGTTGAATTCCATGAATTTCATTTCATAATTGGAACAACCTATTGGCTTTCCTCCCATCAGAATATATAAATAAATTTTGGGTACACCTGGAGTATGTGAATCAAAATGGCAGGTACTATTACGAGTTCGAGGATAAGTGACTCACGCAGTATTTGTACCTGAAATGATGGCCTAACCTGGTACACATACTATGTTCCGGTATTCGCCATCTTGGTTCACAAAATTTGGGAGTACCAAATTTAGTTCTATCCTTCACTAACCTTGGTATGATGGATTGAAAGACAGTGTTGAGCTTGCATGAATTTGGCCAGCAGGTGGCGCTCCTGGAACGACTTTATACGCAATATCATGCTTCGTTGGTTCTTTAACGGAATGTGCTGAGAGTTTCAACCTGCAGTCTCCGATATCTATCACTGTTTTTTCCGGAGTAATTTCTAAGCCAAGTAAAACAATGAACGTGAAATAATGAACGTTATAGTAGTTATTTTTTATGTTATTAGTGGCTCTTTGCACTTAAATGATGGCTCATGACTTTGTTCTAGAAGAGTTTCCTTTACTTCTGAGTGAGTACTAGTAACTTTGTTCAGAGATGAGTCTGTTTTAATTCTGAGTGAGTGCATCGCCGTAGTTTGAGCAGCTTTTGGCATTCCTTGCTCACTCAAAACTTTGCTCATAGATGAGCTTGAGCTCTCTTCAGTAAGAATGTGCAATACACTATAGTAATTCTACATAGTTTTAGTAGCTCTTATAATTGATTTCATTGGTCTCTTGATCATATTTAGGCCTCCTTTAATTCTAAAAAAGTGTTTCTCAAACTTTTTCAATTTGTCAATGCCACACCTCAAAATAACTAGCTAACTATAAGCTACAAATAACAGATAGCAAGTAGGGCTAAAGTAATGTCACAGATGATAAAAATAACAAAAAGCACAACAGCTCTCTGCAATATTAAAACAATAAGGAAATGGAAATGTCCAAAATAAGGCGGGCTATATCAAACCCAACAAAATTTTTATGTTTCAATTACCGGTAGATTCATGCTCACTCAAAAATGTGTCTACGCACCCTCTTGTGGGCGCGCCCCACTGTTTGAGAACCATTGTTCTGAAGGATTACTTGTGACCTTGTTGGCACATAAACTTCTAATAAAAAATTTTGACCTACTGAAAATGCATTGATGCAACCGACCTGATTTTGAAGGCTTCAACACTGGAACATCGGGGTCAATCTGTGGGATTCCTTCATCTTTAGCATTGCCTGGAATCAAAGATCAGTTTTAACTGCGGAAACTTAGATATAGGTAAGAATAGGATTCGTGCAATTAGTAATGTGTAAACGTCCCTAAAGATTCGAGTCACGAATCATCCTAGTAACAAGTCGAGTACTGGATCATCCAGGTATTAAGTCAATCATTTGCTATCTCAGTCCTGCGTCGAGTCGCCTATTATCGACTCAAATCAAGCCATTGGGTATCTCCGTATCAGGAAGAGTCATGGGCCATCCTTGTTCCGCGTCAAGGTGTGGCACATGCTATCTTAGTATCGAGTCACAGGCCAGCAGCATTCAAGCCGGTAATGATGTAGTATGTGAACCAAGATGGCGGCCACCGAGACGTGGTATGTGTACCAGGTTAGGGCTGAACTATAATTTCAGGTACAAATACTACGGGAGTCACCTGGCTAGTCCCAGAACTCGTAAAAAAATTAAAATAAGGTAAATTGGAATAAAATTGTGGCTTAACCCTAACCTGGTACACGTACTACGTTCCGGTGTCCGCCATCTTGATTTACAGACCATGGGAGCGCATGCAAGCCCTATTAACTGGACTGTTTCTGATCCAGAAATTTAAAAATACGAATCTAGTGAAGATATGCCAACCCTGGCTCCCTAGCTCTGCTCCTAAATATAATATAAGCGAGCCTAACTACCATTCATATCAATATAAAACCAAGCTTACCTTGAGTCCCATTCCCCAACAACACCTGGCCAATGGTTCCTTGTATGTTAGTTATATTGATGGTAGTGGGAGAAGGATCTGAAGTTGAAAACAATTTAGTTCTGTTAATTCAGCATGAACATGTTTAAACAGCACTTCTGATTGGTAACCTGGGTGGGTTCTCTGAATCTCTCGCCGGGAAGGCTACAGGTGAGAGGATAGCTGCATCCCTCAACGCCGTAGGGTGGTTCACGTAACCGCTGATCACTTATGGCTTCCTTCGCCATCAAGTCCATGCTTCCGAAAACAAATACCTAGCTAACTAATCCCATACCTGAGATGGTAAACGGACAAGAGGCCGGGGTTCGCCATACAATTGTGCTGTTTTATAGGCTTTCCTCTCTCCCTGGGATAAATATGTAAATCCTATCCTATTGAGATTCAAACTTAATAAAATCCAAACCAAAGCATATAAATACAAACTCTATTTTTGTAGCTGAAATGGGAGGTCACCTGTTGGAACTTGTTGTATGTCAGCGTCATCTTGTGGCAAAACATCCACCTCATATTCATAAGCGGGGTATGCAGCATCAGGATTGCGTTCTATTTCGAAATATCTGTCAATTATTTGTCTCAACGCTTCTGTTGTAGCTCTTGGTCCTGCATTGTAGAAATTGATGTTATTTGCTCAATAGTTGGTGAGAATTGAACCTGACTAGGTTGGTGATGTCACAAGTTATAGATCTGGGCTGGTGACTGTTTAAGCGAGAAATATGCATTCTAGGGGGTTATAAGATACAATAGGGGGCAAAAACTCAGAAGAGTCAGAATTATCAAAAGTCTAATTTATCATATGAGACAAATAAGTAACTAAATTGTATCTAAATGTTGGAATAACTTTTTTGTATCCCCGAGCGCATTCATCTCAGAAAAAAAACCCAAAGGGGCGATGATGATGTATAGAGTGAGTGTGGTCGGGGCAGTACGTACAAGTTTGAGAAACACTGGTGTGGATGAGATATTTTAAAGATATAAAATATATTTTCACCTTCCCTTTCTCTCCAAATTTCAATCAAACACCGTTTTTGCTTGGTGACATTGTCTCGGTTATTTTCCTGTACAGTCGTGACTTCACTGTGACTGATTCTGAGACCGTCCTTTGAAAGAGCAAATGTAATAAATGAATCCGTTGATGAGAAACGTCGAATCACCTCTTTTATTGCTACATCTTCCAGTCGTTCTAAAAATCACATAAAGTCACATAAATCTGCCACGTATGCTTTAGACCAAGGCTTCCCAAACTTTTAAGATAGCAACCCCTTCCAATTCATTAAAATATTTTGCGACTCCCTGATCCGCTTCACAGGTCTTACGACAAAATCGGCATTGTTCTGCAAGCGCGCCGCTTCTGTTACCCTATGTATTCTCTCAAAATCATGAGATTCATGTTTTGCACTAGTTTTAATAATTGTGTTTCGAATCAAAAATCTCTAAAAATACAATTGAGTACTTTGAGTGAAATTGGTATACTCTTTGCAACCCCAAAATTCGTTGCGCACGCATCCCTTGCGGGTCGGGACCCCCAGTTCGGAAGCCCCGGTTTCAGATCACTTAAGATAAACATAAAAAGGAAATGCGAACCAGCTATATCTATGGCTGATATCTACGATTGGACACGCACATTCGTCTGGAATTTTATAATATGGAAGCATGACTAAGAATTAGGAATGGAATGTGTCAGATGAGTTCAAGCAATTTATCAAGTTCTTGAGTTGGAGTATATGATGTAATAATTAAAGTGTTTCTGACTGTTGTGCAACCTATTAACGTAAGTCGCACATCGAACCTTTGTCTAATGGTGCCAAAAGTAGCTAAGCTATTGAACTATTTTACAAAACATATTTTTAGATTTCTATTGCTTGGCCTCAATATACAAACTTGTAGTTTAGTTAAAACTAATAATACAAAATGAAAGCATTCGAATGAAAGCATTTGGTACCACCTATATGCACCAATATGGAGGTACAGTAACTAATTTTGTTCGTTTATTTTACATCAAGTTGTGTAAAGGAAGTGAAACTTATGGGCAGGGGTAGATTTACTTGGCAAACACAGATAGTTCCCGAACTCGTAATAGAACTAAAATAGGGAAAATAGGAACAAAATTATGGCCTAACTGGTACACATAAGTTTTGGGACTCGGGAGTACCACCTATAATATTCCAATACCTTTCCTAATCTGTTCCATTGCTGGTCCTCCCAATACTCCAGGGACAGATGGTCTTAAGCACCAAAATACAGTTTCAAGTACAAATCACAGTGGCTAGATTGTACAGAGACTAAGACATGTCTATCACTATAGCATAAGTACTGTTAAGAGAAAAGAAGTTAGCAATTATACAAAGATTGATACGATATATAGATTGAAACAAGAAACTAATCAAAATTCAAATACTAAATCCATTTTAGTAAAATGGAATAATTAGGTGGATATGTTCATATGTATTCAATCAATTACCTGAATCAGTGAATGAAATCAGGTAATGCTTTTCATATTTCTGTATTTATCCTCTTTTGATTGATTAGTAGTAGATTGGTTTATATTGTTATTACAAATGAACTCAATGCAGGCAGCAATAGACATCTGAACATGTACTGATGTAAGGGAGCCACAATTTTTGTATGGACCAGGGTATTTCAGTATTTTCGTTCTTGTGTTGACTAATAACTTATTAAAATCGACCTCATCAACATAGATGACTTCAATCTTTTAACCACTAGATCAGGGGTGTGCAACCTTTTTTTCATGCGGGCCAAATAAAGGTAACTGGGTGAAGCCGCGGGCCGCACCTAGAAAATCCACCTACAAAAGTCTCTGGATACGAACAATTTGTAGTTTATATCCGGTATTTCTCTGTTCTTTTTTCTTACCATGTGTACCTTGAAGTATTTTCTACTTGCGAATGGGTTTCTGTAATTTGAACGAAATTAATTTGTCCCAAGCCCCTTCGTAAGTAGAAAATTCCGTAATTATAGACGCTCTTTACCTGAAAATGCATTAATCCGTTCCAAGACCCCACAAAACTTGGACACAATATTTGACTGGGTTAAGCAAAGACCAGGGCGGCCGGAGGAGGTGAGGGGAGGTGTTAAAAGTTGAAATCTAAGAAAGAACGCAATGCACAAAAATGAGCACACGCACATGAAATTCAAAATTAGAATTTACTTTTTTTATTTTAAGAGAATTAGGACCAGAAATCTTCTTTTATTTTGCGAGTCGGCGCTGATTCAAATATTTCATGTCGGCTGTTATGATTTGTTTTTTTGATTATAAATTAATATTGTCAACCTAAACTGCGCCACATAATATTTAAGAGCCATTTTATACGCTCTAAGTTGCAAGAAATGACTTTCATGCCGACTGAAATTTACTGCCGTGCCGCATACGACTGCCGTCGATTACAATAAACAATGAAATAATTGTAAAATATTTTTAATTCCAAACGTTGACGGCGGCGCCAGGATATATGCGCCATATTCGGTATTTTTACAAACACGAAAAACGATACTCGAAGTTCGCGATATTCGAATAAGAAATTCGAATTTAGCATCCGTGCTTCAAGCACTGCATTAAATTAACCTAAAATGAACAAATATCCTTACACTCATTTTTTGTTTTCGTTCGTGGGAAATTTTACGTTAGTCAATATATTTTCACAAAAAGAATTCTCGTAAGTTGGATTTTTCGCATGTAGAGCCTTTCGTAGGTCGATTTTCTACTGTAGATACAAGCACAAAAAGTAGTTTTATTTTGTTATTGATCTTACGGCATTGTTCGGGGTCCTGGCGGAAATGTTGAGTTAAAAAGCAAAAATTTTTAAAGAAAGCTATTTCAATTTATTGTCACACCGACTTTGAACTAATTCAGTGAGAAGGAAACAAGCTTTTACAACATTGTGTATTTTCCAACAGGATCTTTTTAGCTAGTTTCACCGATATGGCAGTTGCACTCGGATACTGGTATGGGCTTTGTGGCGCAAGGAGATTGAAATTGCTCGCACGTTCCAGTTTAATTAAACTAAAAGCTCGTTTCGTGGGCACATCACTAAAAGTTGGCACTTCTCCGCGAAAGCTCTTCTTGTAATGATAGATGGAAAGGTGGCTGTTTCACGTTCAACTTCCATAGCGAGGATAAATATATAAATTAAATGTGTTGGTTAGAATACTGTGCAAGGGATAACAAAGTGACAGGAAAACGTGCTCATATACCAGTACCAGTATACCGGTACCGAAAGGCATACCGGTACCGTACTGTACTCGACATGCAAAGGATATCTGAACTTACCATTGTCATCTAAGCATGCTAAATATATCACCCTATAAATTGATTGTGTGAGCACTAAATCAACAGTATACAATCTTACAGCGTTACCGATACCGTACCGTACCGGTACGGTACTGTAGCTGCTGCCTGTACGGTTATCAGAATCCTATCGATTGTTAGGTTAACTTCTCACTACCCTAATTAAAAGTGAATAGTCTGATATTGCACAATCCCAATGCGACTGACAACTTAAACAAGTGAAATAACAGTAAACTTTCTCTAATAAACACCCTACTGTAGTCGTACCTACAAGTCCAGGGACAGTTAGTCAGTTAAAGGACGAAAGGGGAACTTTAACGAGTGTGCTCCTTGTTCAGGTATCCACAATGCATGTCAAATGATACCCAACTTTTAATATGTATTTTATATTTTTTTCATAGAATACATGTTGAGGTGCATTAAAAGGGGGAAACCAAAACATAAACATCGGGATTCCCTGATAATTGAAGGGAATTTTGAGCGACAGGAACATCATTATTACGTATGTATGTATGTATGTATGTTTATTCGTCTCGTAAAAGCAATATAAAAGAGTAAGTAATTATAAATACTGAAGAATGTTGGTCGGAGTCGATAAATATTCATAAAATACCCTTATTCGTGCTTCAACAATTTTGCGTCAACGGCCAAATGAACAGAATCCTTTTTTTTTAAATATACAACGAGTACAGATTAAAAAATCAAAATGACCCATAATCGTTTGCCAAACCAAGTTGTCTCGTCCGGATTTCAATTCAGGTGACGACTGTCTTCTACTCTAGGAGGACCCTACTAAAAAGGTAGGTATCATAGGTATCACTCCATAAAAAGATAGGTATCAGTAGTAAATGACTAAAAAGGTAGGTATCAGTAGTAGATGACTAAAAAGGTAGGTATCAGTAGTAGATGACTAAAAAGGTAGGTATCAGTAGTAAATGACTAAAAAGGTAGGTATCAGTAGTAGATGACTAAAAAGGTAGGTATCAATAGTAGATGACTAAAAAGGTAGGTATCAATAGTAGATGACTAAAAAGGTAGGTATCAGTAGTAGATGACTAAAAAGGTAGGTATCAGTAGTAGATGACTAAAAAGGAAGGTATCAGTAGTAAATAACTAAAAAGGTAGGTATCAGTAGTAAATGACTAAAAAGGTAGGTATCAGTAGTAGATGACTAAAAAGGTAGGTATCAGTAGTAAATAACTAAAAAGGTAGGTATCAGTAGTAGATGACCAAAAAGGTAGGTATCAGTAGTAAATAACTAAAAAGGTAGGTATCAGTAGTAGATGACTAAAAAGGGGGCTCCCGAAGTATGCGAACCAAGATGGCGGACATCGGAATGTAATATGTGTACTAGGTTAGGGTTAGGCCATAATTTTAGGTATAAATACTACGGGAGGACATTAGCTAGTCTTCGAACTGATAATAGGACTAAAATAAGGAAAATTGGAAAAAAATTATCGCCTAACCCTAACCTGTTACCCATGTTACGTTCCGATGTCCGCTTAGTCATTTACTACTGATACCTACCTTTTTAGACACTGATACCTACCTTTTTAGTCATCTACTACTGATACCTACCTTTTTAGTCATTTACTACTGATACCTACCTTTTTAGACACTGATACCTACCTTTTTAGTCATCTACTACTGATACCCACCTTTTTAGTCATCTAATACCTACCTTTTTAGTCATTTACTACTGATACCTACCTTTTTAGTGAGTGATACCTACCTTTTTAGTAGGGCCCCTCTAGGAACCTTTGATGGGTTTTGCAAGATTAGGATTTCCGGAAATTAGCTTGCTGTAGATTAAAGGATGGGTTTTACATATCTATCACAAAAGCCCACAAGACAGCTCAATACCACGACTTCGCGTCCGGTTATCAGGGTATGGGATTATATCAAGCACTTTCTTTCAGATGCATGCAAGCCAAATAGTTGGCGGTGAGGAAGCCATAGTGGTACGGGTCGGAACCAGTGATGAGCTGGAAAAATCATAACAACTAGAACGCAATTAATTCGTGAAAATGTATTATATTTGTATCGCGTCCGGATACGCTTTCACCGAGTTGTATTTTTCTTATCTCCTTCAGTGCCCCTATCTTTGACCCCCTGCCTCTCCATCTTCGACCTACTGTCCTATCTCCCTCAGCCTCTCTATACTCACTACCCTGTCGTCCTCAACCTTCCTAGCCTCGCCCCACTGCCCTATCTCCCTCAGCCCCTCTATTTTTAACCCTCGACCTTATCTCCCTCTCCATTGCCCTATCTCACTTTCTACTCTCGACCCACTGCCCCACCTTTCTAGCCTCGACTCACTGTCCTCCCCACTATCTTATCTAGCTCAACCTTTCTATCTTAGACCCACTACTGTCTCCAAAACCCTTTTATCTACTGCCCAAGCTCCAAAAACCTACATACCCACCGCCCTGTAATACCACGTATTTTAACTAACCCACGCTACGATCTTCACACCATACCTTGTTTGCTTTTGATTATGCAAACCCTCAGGTTTTATACGGTTCGAGTATGCCAATGAGATGACTGAAGCGTACGTCAAAGAAACGAAGTTTCGTGGCATTCGTGCCATATTATTATGAGTATATTTGAATATTGAACCAACGTATAGCTTCAGCAGGCCTAAGTGTAAATGATGACAAAAATCATTGAAATCTTCGGAAGGCACTTATTTACATCACTTTCCAGGCTATTTAATTGTAGGCTGAATGATACTCAATCACCATAATTGGTAGCTTAAGAAGTTGCTACTTGTTTAGCCACTGATGTTAATGGGGTAAAAGCACGGATAGAGTAGAAATTTCCCTGCGCGCACTCAACCTGAATCCACTGAAACGGGCAATGATCATTAAGGGGTTTTGCACAAGGAATCAGTTTAGGGGCAATGAAAGGCATTGATGAACAGTCTGCCGATTACACTAGTCTGGCCGCAAAATCCGTAGGCGAGAATAAAATTCAGTAAGAATTACGGACTTTCATACGAACCATCGTGACGGCTGCTGCCAGACACTGTTTTTTTTACCTCACTCTTGGGGGACGCGGCGGTTTCGCTTTTCAATCAATCATTTATTTCGGTACTCTGACATAAAAACAAAACAACACAAAAACTGGACAAACAAACAAAATGCAGAGATACCTGGAAGGCGAGCATAACTTAAAATAAAGTTGAAAAACGTAAAAGTACGCGCCCACCCACCAAAAAAAATAAAAAATATTACTACAAGACTACAAAAAACACGATTCAGAATCGGGCAATGCTTTTTAAGGGATCTGTAGACAACTTACACAAAATTTAGGTAGATAAATAAAATGTAATAGACTTCTGACGACCTCTTCCGTCTAATTATGGTAATCATTCATTTATATATAAATGAAGTTGATTTTGAATATTTAACTCTAGGTCTGGAATTCTAGATTGTGTATTGCTCAATAAGTAAATAGCTGTATGAAACATCTTGCTTTCAAATACATAAAAATATCACCATTCACCAATAATTTATCAAATGTACAAACCAGAACAAAAAAAATGCATGCATGAAAGGCAGCATGAAGTTTTGAACATTGGAGGTAAAGTGTAAATTTGCAAAATCACTAAAAAAAATTCAAATTGATTTCATAGATTATTTCTTTGATAAGTTTGCTAACAAATATTGAACACAGCAAATTTCAATAAGAGTGCTATGTAAGTGGGGTCATGCTTCTTATGGTTATGAAATAGGGCCTTAAAAATATGTTATCCATCATGGAATGATGTTGTTCGAAAAGCACAAATATAAAGTGCTATAGTTGCCTACAGACAGGCTTGAAATAGCTGCAAATACAAAGTATGACTAGTAGTGAACACAACAAAAAAGATTAGGGCAGTGTGTCTGGAAAAAATACAAAATAGCTATATACAATGGAACCATTTGCCAAAACAATATTCATACAACTACCAATACTGGTAGGCAACATTAAGATGTAAAAGAATTTATCAAAGCAGTAAAAGCAGGTTCAATTACACACTCACACAATGAAATACCTATGAGCAAAAATAAATAAGTGACAAAAATAAAGTTAAAATATGCTTGTGTCCTAAGTGCCACATAATCCAAGTAAAATGGTTGAAACTGTGATTAAAAATATATAAATTATTGGCAGTCAAAAGAAAAAAAAATACCACCAAATAATATCTACTGAGTACAGGAGTAAGGATATAGCTCATAATAAAAAAAAGAAATGAGTTATATTAATTTGAAATATTAGTGAGCAATATGTATGCATTGCCTAATTGTAAAACATTGTTCAGTGCTAGGTAGGACATCACTTGTTTGAAATCAAGAAATCCAACATGAATACTTGAGCCTTTGAAATAAGATGACTTTTGTGGCACGCGTGCAATTGAAGAATTTGTGATTGTCTTTAAAATTGTAACCCCATGCCAGCAAAGAGCTGCATAAAGTAAACCCTCTTTAACTTTGATATTGGATATTCTGAAGTGTTGATTTATTTTATGCCATTCTTCATTGTTTTGGACGATGCTGCAAGGTATGGTACCGGTATGGTATTCACTTTCCAGCTTTCTGCAGTTCTGTTATTTTCCAACCTCCAGATTCCAAAAACTTCCATTAGTTTCATACAATTATAACCGAATGATGTTGTCCATATTGTGCAATGTCTCACTTCAACAATCAATTTCGAATTTTCAGTACTTGTAGATGGAAGAAGTCGCCAGAAGGCTATTTTTATCCTAGGAATTCTACACGTCCCGGTTATAATTTAATCGGGACGGGCATAAATATCTTAATCAAAACAGCAATAATCTTAATCAAATAGCGAATAATTTCATTCGCGAGTTTGAGCTGTTGCTTGGTTGAGGGCCAATGTTGCACCTGGAGTGTACTGGATCAGGTGGAACTCGTAATATCTTTTTCGAAGGTATAAAATACGGTACCGTACTATATATACTATGCTGACTATATTAGATAGGATGTCCGGCTACCAGTAGTGCAGTACCTGGTAGCACTGAAGTCCGGTACCTGCCATACAGTTCTTCAAGTTGTGTCAATGCCACTGCTTACTACGGTGTTTCCCCGAAAAAAAAAAAACTGGTCCGAATTATGAAAATTATTGTAATATAAGCCCTTTAAAATGATACTCCATACCTAAATTAGAAGAAATTGTAACTTGATGGCAAATTTGTGGAGCGAAATCACAGGCTGAAAGAAGTCTGTTTGCTGTTGCTGACTTGACTACCTAAGGTGAATATAAGTTGTAATCGGAAACCTCACAAAAATACAGTATGACAAACCCTTCAAATATTGCATTGGGCCTAAAGACTCCACTCATGAAATAACAAAACATGTTGATTCTAAACAATCATATATTATAGTATATATTTCTATACAAGGTGAAATGACACAAAGATTCGAACACTGATATGACATTACTGTTTATCATATATATTGTTCGTTGCCTTTTTATTTTATATATTAGAATCTGAACCTATATATTATTTACATTAAAAACATGAACTATGACAATAGACAATACGTTTATTTCGTCGTGCCAGAAATCACAACAAAAGTTCACAACAGATAAAAAATTATGCATTACAGTAACAGATTTCATTGCAATTGACAGGAAATCGCGAAGGACCAGAAATGGTCATCATAAGTCAGCGACACCTAGATTTAAGACGAGTCAAAAGTAAAAATTGCAATTAAAGAAAGCAATGGATACAAAGAAAAACTTAGTCATTCAAAAAATTACCAACGAAACAGGGAGTGATATGAATATTCATATACGATAGCATTTGGGAGAGAGAAAAAAAACATAAGGCGGGAAAATTCAGTGATTAATTTTTTTTTATCTTCGTTCATTTCGTCATGCAGGAAATAATACACAAATTCAAGGCACAGCTTATACAATACAGAAACGGATTTAGTCGCAATTTAAAAGCAGGTGGCTTTCATCGCAAGAAACAGAAGGGGTCATCATAAGTCTGCGACACCAACATTTGAAATGAGTTAAAAATTGAAATAATAAAAAAAGGTGGCGGTAGAGAATATTAGTCATTCGAAAAAATTGTCCAACAAGGGGAGGGAGGGTAAAGATTCCTGTGAAACATCACATATAATTTTAGAATGAGATAAAAAAAAAGTCTGGGAAATACAATAAGACACAGTAGTTTTTAGGAAAAAAAACATTTAGCATATCAATTTGCTGAACTTCTGTATAATGGCAACTATTAAATATTGTCACTTGCAACATCAAATCGAGCTATATTTTTTATTTGCAGAAGAATAAATAAATATAAAATTACATAACTTTTAGGTACGAATGCGAAATTCATACTCCATGTACATCCAACATATGAGATTTGAAAGTGAGAAGAGAAAATGATGCAGTTTAAATCTGACTGTGAAATAGGAAAAACAGTCTCGGTGAACTTATTGCCACCAACTAACAAATGTCAGCCGGGCCATCAAAAATCCAGAGAACAGAAACATATTCAAGCCTTATAAGTCTAAAGGTGATTGCATGAGTAATAGAAAATTTAGAATGAGGTGATTGAGGTATGTCATATTTGATAAAACAAAATCAATTCATCGTGACTGTAAAAGCTATCATTTTCATTCCCAAAATCACCACCATTTTATACAATTCATGATTCGTTCGCTGTTCTACATAGGTAATATATTCAAAAATTTGCATTGCACCTTATTCATCATGTATGTTTTTCTCAATATATTTCAGATGGTGATTATACAATCACAAAAAGAGCTGTGGTGAAGTTCAAACAAAGTGTACCCTTGCTAAGAATTCTTGGTTGGGAAAGTTGAATTGTGTTCTCATGTTGTTGCAATATATTTTGAACCTACTTATGTTGGAAATTCTAAATTAAGCAAAATATTATTGTGTTCAAATTTGAATAAAGAAATTGTTTCTTTTTTAATAATGCTGTTGCAACCTAAGCCAGTGTAATAAGACCAGATCCCAATTTATTGTAAATTTGAGACATAACTTTCTTCAAAAAATTCAGTCTACCTTAAATTACAAATGCCATTCACTTATTAATTTCTTGCATATCACCATTATTGCAATTTATACAAATCAACTTATGTAAAATTTCATTTTTATTAAAAATAAAAAATATCATAATTATTGTTGAGTGTTCGAGGTAGGGATGGGCAATATAGAATACCGAATCCGGAGGATTCGAATCCCAAAGTATTCGAATCCAACGGGATCCGATAACAGGATTCGGTTTCCGCCTCTCCGGCGCCAAGCGTCAATTTTTGTATTTCGAGTTTCTAATTTATCAATTAAAGACGAGCGTTTTTTCTCGCGTCGAAATCTCACGAGCGTTTTTTCTCTCGTGGAAATCTCTCTCGTTTAACATAACTTGCGTCTGCTCGTAAAATCGGTAAACATCAAACACTGTAATCTCAATCTGCGCATTCAGAACAAGAAATCGGCGAAGTACACCTCACGGCAAAGACTCGTTATGGCACCGTTTTTGCGTTCTACTGATTTGCTATATAGCTAACGTATAATAATAATAATTATTTGTGCCGACTCACTAGCGATATTCCGATAAACTGATTGCAACAAACTTCAATTGTTTACAGACGTGCCTTGCTTCATTTTACATTAAGATATCTCGAGACCTGCGAGTTTTACAAAAAAAAAATGATGCATGTAAACCAAAAGCCAGGCGTTGAATGTTATAACATTGCTTGAGATTAATTTAGATCAAATATTTTTTACGAATAATTTATTACACCATTTTCCGAAATACAAAGTTATAACGCAATACGCGAAAATCTGTCACATTCAAACTCCACTTTCAAAACATTACATTTGTTTCGGTCCGTTTCTATCGTTCAAGATAGACGCACGTTTGATCGAGTGTCTGCAGTAATTTTGTCGCTGGTAAATTAAAAAAAAAGTTGGCGCATCTGGCGAAGATAGTGACGTATTGAGTTTAATTAGGGCCAAGTCTCGGTAGATAAAGTATGTAATGATAATCATAGAAAAGGAATTAGTCTTTAGATGTTATTACCTAATAACTAAGTACGAAATCGCGTTTACGGGAACTTGGTTTTACGAGTCTTGCTCGCACAGAATAAAAAGATGATTTTATTTGATAGTGGTTAAATTTAATATTTTACAACGGCCGCATAGGTTGCAGTGGCCACACGCTGGTCCTACATCTAACTAATTCTCAGCGGGTGTGTTTTAGTTCACTAGGCAGACTAACATTAATAATGATTTAATGCCGTTTCATATCTATTTTTGTATATAACCGCTTACTATTAAAGTGTGGGAAGCGCGTCTTAATTTAGCATATCGGTGTTTAGGGATTACATACATTTGGAACTATTGAAGGCAAAAAATATTGTAATATTCTTGAATTTTATTGCCCTGAGAAATGCCTGTATAATCCAGTGTTCAGGACATTTCCAAATAAATAATACATTTATAGTTATACATTTAAAACTTTTTAACATCTAAATCCAGCATTGTGGGAATTCCCACTTTTTGAATAAGTATGAAAATAGAATAGGATTCGGTATTCTGGATTCGATTTAACTATTCTAGAATATTCTATAATATTCTAGAATAGTAAATTATTCTACATTGCCCATCCCTAGTTCGAGGGGTGCGAGTTTGACATCCTCTGGTCTACCGTGCTGAGAATGCATCCAAATGATATCCAGGCTTCAGCTCTGATCATCTATTAAACAAATTTCACATTCAGTAGGGCATTTATGCAGAGTCCCAACAACTTGGGGGATCATTCCTTTTCCTAATTTTCAATTGTAATCTTCTTATTAAAACATGATTGGTACCTAATCAAGGGTGAAATTTCCTTTCTTGATAGCTGCTTTCTCCCTCCATATAGTTACATACTTCTGCAGTTCATTACAATATACAATACAATTTTATTTCGATTACTCTTACTTCGCAAAGTACTTCATTTCATAGATAGCTCTTAGGTATGTATGTAATCCTTTTCCTCTGGAAAGTTTAGCTCCCAAATATCAGGCAAATCCTGCTCGGTGTATTCCAGGGCAATGACTGAATGAGAAAATCCAGTCTGCCAGTACCGGTACCATCACTTTTGAAGTAGCTCGGTCTGATGTGTGTGACTGTGTAACAGAGCAGCTCAAATGCATAACAGATATACAAGCTAGTCTGTATTCAATCTATAAATGAGAAAAAGACTGTTGAAAAAACGCTAACACACAACGATATATTTAAACAAGTCAAAGCAAGGCACGAGTATAAACCTGACGAAACGTGCTACGCAACGAGTGTCCCCCTAAACAGCACAAAAAACGTAGCTGGCAGCATCGGTCAAAGGTCATGAAAGTTGGTAATGGACGTCAGCGAGAATGAAATTTTGTGAGAACGAATGTTAGCAAGAATTAACGTTGGCGAGAATGGGATTTTGTGAGAACGGACATAAGCGAGAATGAAATTAGGGGACAACGGATGTTAGCGAGAATGAAATTAGCAACAACGAATGTTAGCGATTTTGTGGGACGGACGTTAGCGAAAATGAAATTTTGTGAGAACGAACGTTAGCGAGAATGAAATTAGCGACAACGGATGTTAGCGATTTTGTGAGAACGAACGCTAGCGAGAATGAAATTTTGTGAGAACAAACGTTAGCGAGAATGAAATTAGGGAACAGCAGATGTTAGCGAGAATGGAATTGGGGAACAACGGACGTTAGCGAGAATAAAATTTTGTAAGAACAGACGCTAGCGAGATTGAAACAAGAGAGCAATGCTCAAATATATGGACACTCAGAACAATGCCCCAAAAATCATATGCGGTGACTTACCAGTACCTGTATAAATTAGACCAGAGCGAATCAGTCCTTACCGGTACCTTTGACGCTACCGGTACCCTCAAAAAAGTTCTGAATTTCCAGTAGCAAGAATTTTGCAGATTCAGATTCAGATATTTATTTTCGTCATGCAAAAAACAATGCGCGATATGAAAAATGAATAAATAATATAATGTAACAAAATGTCAAATGGATATCGGCTTGTTGCAGTTGACGCGGAGTCGCGAAAAGACTCATAGAGTCATCTAGTCAGCGACACCTTGTAGCTGAAATTAAGCAGCAAATATAAGAAACGGGACACTCAATATTACACATTAATTTAATAAATTAACACGATCATACAAAAGACAAAAAAATAATACAAAATAAATAGAACTCAATATTACACATTGGCTTAATTGGACACAATCATTCGAAAAATGAAAAACAACAAGAAAAAACCTGAGTAACTACGGGATGCCACAATCCCTGTGGAATGATTAACAAACATGAAATAGGCTATAATCATACAAGAAAAAGAGCGGCAAAACATGCGAAATAAACCACGGAATGCCACAATGACTTTGGAATAAAAAAAAAGATTACTTTTAAATAAAAAAACAAGACAGATAAAAAACATCAACAAATCGAAAATACACCACGGAATGTCATGACGGACGCAACAGCGACATCTATAAAATGGTTATGCCTCGTTGAGTACGGAGCACAGCGAAATAGCGTTATGACTCAGCGTTCAGTCTACACCAAGATGGCGTACCCAGCAACGGGAGTTTGCTGCTAGGCCAGTCTGGATTTCATGGCCTTTTTGAACGAGAAATCGGGCGTGCAATCAGAAATTCCCGCGTGCAAATAAGAATTCCTGGCGTGCAATTATAGCTCACGACGTGCAAAACAACTGCACTCGCGTGCAACTGACTTTGACATCAGATACCTCTCAATACATCCGCGTAAAATTACCGGTATCGGATAAAAAAATACGTTGAATCAGAGAAAAAATGGACGTTTGACCTTTGACCCCAAACATTATTTCTACAGTTTGTCGCTAATTTTGAGAGTGTTTGTGCGACTTTGGATACCGGTACTGTTCAGTACATCCGCGTAAAATTATTGGATAAAAAATACGTTGAACCAGAGCAAAATGGACATACTTTGTCATTAATTTTGGTAGTGTTTTACGTAGAATTAATGGATAAAAAATACGTCAAATTAGAGCAAAATGGACGTTTGACCTTTGACCCCAAACATTATTTTCATACTTTGTCACTAATTTTGGGAGTGTTTGAGCAACTTTAGATACCGGTACTGTTCAGTACATTCGTGTAAAATTATTGTATGAAAAATACGCTGAATCAGAGCCGTACTTGGCCATTGGTGCGGATGCGATCTTTTCGTCCATAACTATTCTCACGGGATTCCTATTTCCTATCATTCAACACGATATGGACCTTTCCCCGAGCATCGACTTCCTTGTTTACTTCGTGACATTGGCCAATCAGCAAGATGCAAAAAAGGACGTAACAATGAGAGGAATTTTTCGCGGGTCGAAGGTTGGGGAAAGGTCCATGGTCTTTTTGCTTCGCAATATTTCGATCAGACCAAATCTTGCAAGCTGGTATTTGTCGACAATTGTGGAGTTATAATATTTTGGAATCTTTATATTACTGGATTATTGATTTTAAAACCATTTAAACCGATTTACATTGGTGAGCAATTGCAAATTTTCGGCGTGCAAAATTGATTTCGCTCGCGTGCATTTTTGCGGAGCGCTAGCGCCCTCGGGCGTGCACCTGCCATGGAATCCAGTCTGGCTGCTAGGGTTGAATTTGTGGCTATTTTCTGTTAAAGCGATTGCTAGTAAATTATTGGCTCTACAGATTAGTGCAGAATGAATTATGAGATCTGCATACTTCGTGTCGATTGCACTGGGCTGAAAATAGTAAGGAAATACCAGGACACAATATGCAGACAGAAGAAAATGGCAAGTTTCAAAAAGATGGATGGATATAGAAAACAACAGAAGGTAATGTTTTCAGATCAATGACAACTAGGCCTATAGGCATCAAGATATAGGCTTTTCAGTGCATGTTTGTAAGAATTATAACTACTGGATCGAATGTTATTAGGGAGGTTATTCCACAATTTAACACCAACGAATTTGATCGAGTTTTGAGTTCGTTTGGTGCTGAAGCGATTTACATAATATGAGCACCCGACAGAGGAGCGCGTTTCATAAGAGTGAACGTTGCTCTGTTTTAAAAAATAGTTGGTGAAAGCAGAAGGGAGTTTTTTGCAGTGATGTTGGTGCATTATTTTCAATACCTCAATTTCATAAATATCTGCTAATTTAATAATTTTAAGACTATGATAAATAGGACTAAGTCGTGAAATATAACTGGCAGCAGAAATTGCACGAATTGCTCGGTTCTGAATAATTTCAATGCGGTGTAATAAGGTTTTATCAGCTGAACCCCAAGCAATTATGCCATACTGGATATGGCTTTGAAATAAGGAATAGTAAATCATGCGTAAGGTGGTAAGCGATGTGTATCTTCTAAGCTTGTATAGCATTCCAACAGACTTGGATAATTTAACGGCCAGGTTGGACAAGTGAATATCCCACTTCATTTTACTATCAATGTATATACCAAGATATTTAAAGGAATGGACATTTTCCAATTTTTTATTATCAATTTGGATTTCCAAAACATTTTTCGATTTGCATTGGTATGGAGATATTAACATAGATTTTGATTTTTCAATGTTTAGTGTTAATTTATTGGCTTTCATCCAACTTGACACTTTTGCAATTTCAGTATTTACTCTCAACTGAAGAACTGCACAAGATTTGTCGCTGTCAAGGAGATTAGTATCGTCAGCGAACAATTTGGAAAATAATGAAGAGCAATAAGTTATGTCGTTAATATATACGAGAAAAAGGAGAGGGCCCAAACAGCTACCTTGAGGAACTCCATGCGTCACCGGTAAGGGAGAAGAACAGTATGATCCTACTTGAACATATTGAGATCTATTATTCAAATAACTAGAAATGAGTTTGCTTGCAATTCCCCGTATACCATAATGCCTCAACTTAGAAATCAGGATGTCATGATTCACAGTATCAAAAGCTTTCTTTAGATCTAGAAAAGTTGCACTGACATACTCCTTTCTTTCCAATTTATCATAGATATATGATACTGTATCTAAAATGGCATGTGATGTAGAATAATTGCTCTGAAAACCGAATTGATATTTATTTATTACATCATATTTAGTTAAAAAATTTGCGAGTCTTTTATGTAACAAACGCTCAAACATTTTATCAATTGCTGAGAGGATTGATATTGGTCTATAATTTGAAATTAATTTTTTATTTCCAGATTTGAAAAGAGGAATAACCCGGGCGGTTTTGAGAGATGAAGGAAAGATTCCAAGTAACAGCGAGGAATTGAAGAATCTTGAGAGACAAGGGGCAATCATATCCGCAACTAATTTGATGAAGCGCGCTGGGATGTTGTCTGGTCCTACAGCCTTCCTGTCGTTAAGATTTTGTATTTCGATTAAAATTTCATTCGCGGTGGATGAGCTCAAAAAGATGGATTGGCTCACACGATTGCGGAGAAAAGGTTCGAAGTTAGCTGTATCATTGGAAAACTTATCAGCCAGGCTGGACCCAATTGTTGAGAAGTATTTGTTAAATTCTGTCGCGATTAAAAGTTCATCTCTAGTTATACAACCGTTTTCAGTATTAATTTCATCAATTTTATGCTTCAATTTCTTTTTTGCATTTGTGATTTGGCCAACTATTTGCCATGTTGACCTGGGATTACCTTTGGTTGTAGCAATAAGATTTTGATAATAGATTTGTTTAGCTTTATCTATGGTTCTTGACAAAATATTTCTATATTGTTTAAAGTAAGAGCTCTGGGAACTGTTACCTTTCAAGAAGTGAGTTTTAAACATTTTATTTTTGTGTCGAATACAAGCGTTTAGCCCTTTGGTTAACCATGGTTTTGATTGTAACCTTTTCTGACGCCGAGAAAGTGGTCGAAGTGGGGCATGGCGATCAATTAGGTGAACAAATGACTTTATAAAGTCGTCAAAAACACTATTAAAATTTTGGATATTTAAATTAATTCCAGCAAATTGATTAGCAAAAATTACCTCTGCATCACTACGAAAGCAATCGATTGAGAATGTTGACATGTCCCTTGACATTCTGCGATTGTATGTGTATGATGGTTTGATGCCTCTCAGACAGCACATGATCGGAAAATGGTCTGTGATGTCTGACAGAACTATGTGGGAATCTATTTTTAGGTTTCTGATATTTGTATATACATGATCAATGAGAGTTGCTGATGTACGGCTAACTCTAGTTGGGTCAGTGATTAGGGATGTGGCATTGTGTGAAATGAGCATATTGGCATAATTTGCAATATGAGCGTTACTAGGTGTTAAAAGTAAGTTGATGTTAAAATCTCCAATTATCAAAAATTGTTTGTTTGCCAATTTAGCGAGAGAAGTTTCCAACATGTCAGTAAAATGAGGAACATCATTTCGAGGGTGTCTATATATCACACCAACGATTAATTTATTGTCAGTACTGGCCAAAGTGATTTCGAACCATACATTCTCACAGTTCGGGTAATTAAGATTATAAATTGAAATTTCATTATAGGTAAGGTCGTCACGGATAAAAGCACCAGCACCACCGGCTTTGGTGGTAGAAGGCATGTGTATGAAACTATACCCATCCATATTAATATTAGAAACATTGTCACTTGATAATTTTGACTCGCTTATTGCTACTATATGGGGAGGAGATGGAAAATTGTTTAAAAGAGTTATCAAGTCATCAATATTTTTTTGTAGGGATCGAATATTTACATGGAAAATTATTAAGTCAGATAAAGATTGGATAGACTTTAAATTATGAACTTCTATATTACTGCACATTGTGACATCACTGGAAAAAACTAATTGAGAGTTACTAGAATTGGCCATTTAAGATGACAAAAGATAATTGCAATGTGGTATAAGACAAGTAGCCATATTTAGGAAAACATAAATTTTTCCAAGAGTACATTGTAAAGTGTACAAATTATGTTTAAGTGACCTACTTGATTAATGAAAGGTCAGCATCACTCTCAATATGGATGGTAGCAGTCATTGTGTTCTTTCTTATTAGTACCTTTCCATTGTGCGTCCATAGATATTTGTACCCGCACTTATTTTTCAGATCTTTCGCCTTGAAGAATAGGTCCTTGTTGTAGTCGCTGAGGTTTTCGACAACGAAAATTGTGGTGGATCTTGAGAATTGTGGAAAATCTTCATGAAAGTTTGCTGATTTAAGATGGCGACGGTTTTTCAATATTTGATACCTGGTTTTCCTATTTACAAATTGGACAATAATTGGTGAAGGTTTTTTAGTGTTAGCTTTCGACATTCGGTGGCAATTTGAGATGTCTAAAGGTTGTAGCGATATATTGAGTCGAGCTTCTATTTTCATGATTTTGTTTTCACAATCTTCTTTTTCTGTGTATGGTATATTATGGAACTCTAAGTTATTGAGTCTTGACCTTCGCTCTTGGTCGTTTTGTCGTTCTGTAAGAATATCAACCTCCTCTTCGAGATCTTCTACAATTCTTTCCAGTTGGCGAATTCTTTTGTTGTTTTTGGCTGTAATGGTATTGAGTTCATTGTAATTGGCACTCAATTCATCGAATTTTTTTGCAATAAAGACTTGGCTTGATTTTATCTCCCCAACTTCTTTGATAACACTGATCGAGGATAACTGGGTCTTAACTTGCCTCATTGACTCATCCAGAGATGATAGAGATTCCTGGATGCATTTACTAGTAGGTGTTGTTGATGAAATATCCATAGCTAATTTTTCGATATGTTGTTCAATTAATGCTGGTATTTCCAGTCGCAGGGTCTTAAGAATAGTGCTCTCGAGTACAGAGACTAGGTTGGAGATGTTTTGATCGGTTATGTCAGCCATTGCTGAAGAACTGGCAACTTGACGGTCGGTGGGACTTTTACGCTTTGGGGGGTTTGGAGGAACATCGCATGATTTTGTAGTAGACGACATCTCAGTTGTTCTTGAATCCACAACTCGAAAATGATGTTGAGCTTTCAGTTGACAGATTCCACCCCAAATGCTGAAGAGTTTCAATCATTCATAATCCAGTAATCAAGTGTCCAGTATCAAAATGTAGGCTATGATATTAATTTAACGCTACAGTACTTAATCAAATAGCGAATAATGAATCAAAACGTACAGCCAGTCATGACACTGACTAAAATCCGTGTTCCCATGGATAAAAAAGAATACAGCAAAATTTTAGACGAAATATCAAATTTCATAGAATTCACGCAAAATTTTGAAATAAATAAAAGTAATAGCCTTCTAGCGAAAAAATTAATCTTTAACCACTGTAAATTTTAAAGCAATTGGTTCAGTATTCGAAGAGAAAAGCGACTTTTTAAAAACGTGTCAAAGAACAAGAACAACAACAACATAATATTGAAACGATCGTTATGTCCACTTCGTGTCCAATTAGGGGATAACGGACGTTACCGAGTATAAAATTTTGTGAGAACGGACGTTAGCGAGAATGAAATTAGAGGACAATGGAAGTTAGCAAGAATGAAATTAGGGAACAACGGACGATAGCAAGAATGAAATTAGCGACAGCGGATGTGAGCGATTTTGTGAGAACGGACGTTAGCGAGAATGAAATTTTGTGAGAACGAACAATAGCGAGAATGAAATTAGGGAACAACGGATGTTAGCGGAAAAGAAATTGGGGGACAACGAACGTTAGCAAGAATAATATTTTGTGAGAAAGGACGTTAGCGAGAATGAAATTAGGGGGAAACGGACGTTAGCGAGAATAAAATTTTGTGAGAACAAATGTCAGCGAGAATGAAATTAGACGACAACGGGCGTTAGCGAGAATGAAATTAGGGAACAACGGACGTTAGCGAGTATAAAATTTTGTGAGAACGAACGTTAGTGAGAATGCAAATCTGCTTCAAATCAGTGCACTATAATAAAATATGGACTTAAAAGCAGATCATGTGATAATAGCTACCTCCAGTTACTGACCATTCCATGCCAGGCATGGAAAATTAAACTACTTGTTTAATATGTGTGGCTCAACGGGCTAAGCGTTAGGCATACGCTCGCCACCGCACCTCTAATTACTCTGCGGGGGTTCGCAGGTTCGAATCCCATGCAGGGATGGTTATGTGCAAGAGGATTGCTGGACTCCTCGCCGTCGTTGGGTGGTTCACGTAACCGCTGGTCGGTTACGGCTTCCTCCACCACCAAGTCCATGCTTCCGAAAACAAAAAACAATACAGTATAACTAATCCCATACCCGACTTGGAATGGTAACCGGACGAGAGGCCGTGGTTCGCCATATGGATAAGCCGTCTTATCGGCTTTCCTTTCCCCCGGGATAAATATGTAAATCCTATCCATAATGTAGCAAATTGCAATTGGCCAGTCGTTATAAAAAGCACTCTACAACCGCTCAAAAAGTCGTCATTAGCCATTTTATCAATTTCCTTTACCTGTGCAGCAATAAATAAATATGAAAGTCTAATCATATACTGCCTTGATAGCTCCCTTCGAACAATGGCAGGAGCATATAGGGGTGGCGCAAGTATCCAACTCATGGTTTTCAAACCTGTTAAACTCAAAGAATCTTGAACGGACAATTTCAACAACATACAGATGAAACTTTGAAAATAGTCTGTAATTCCAGAAATTGCCAACACTTGAAAATTATTAAAACAAATAAATTGTACCTTGAGAATGAAACATATACAAGCCACATAGTCGATACAACTGACATGAATGAAATGACGGACGTTCAATGAAGTGCTGAGAGCTACTGATAATATAAAGCAATGGTTCTCAAATGGTGGGGCGCGCTCCACAATTGGGGTACAGAAAATTTTTTGAGGGGGCACAAAACTAATTAAAAATAAAAAATATTTGTTAGATTTGATCTTGCCCGCATTACTTTTGATATTTACGCTCCATCAACATATTTTCAAATTTCTTTTGCATGAAACATACTTTTGCATTACTATCAGTTATTTGTAGCCTATTGTTATTGTTTTTTTTGTGTGGTGCACAGGACTTGACATATTCTAAAAAGTGGGCGCTGCTTGAAAAGTTTAAAAAACACTGCTATATCGAATCATAATAGCGAGTCCTAGTAAACACAGACGAAAACAGCTAGGAGGTAGGGAATTCCACATAACCGGAGGTCACTCGGAAATAACTTTGAGCATAAAATTTTTTATGGCTGGTCCTGATAGGCACATGTTCTTCATAGAAACATTGGCCCCAGGTTATGGATTGGTGGTTTTGTAAAGTAGTATCTTCCAATTGGGGCAAATAAAATGTCTGTAAATAAATTGCTTTAATCCTAAAATCGGGGAGACAACTCGAATTTGGACCTGGATAGCTGAATTTTTATTACTGGTGTTCCCTTGTAATTAACCAAGACAGCAGGGGAAAAACATCATCGATAGTTGCATTGTATGGTAATCACATGGTCAAGTAATTAAATAAAAAATGGGATGAATACAAATTGTTTACTCCCCAAGTTCACTAACTGACTGTGAAATGATACCATTGGATTAACAACATTTTACTTGCAATGAAGTACCGGGCCAGGTTATCACTGATTGGTCAGTGTATGGACACAACATATATATAAAGTTCTGGGACTGGGTTTCTCAAACTTCGCCTCCGCCTCACAAATGGCCACGTAGCGGCCCTGACCATAGGACTCCATTAGGTGTCATTCAATATGATCATTACTTTTTAATCGATTTTAATTGGTAAGTATGTTGATAGGTATTTGCCTGTTAGATGCACGCGATATCTCACGGAAGCGAGATTGAATCTGCTCCAGATTTTGCATGTGCATTCATCATATGTCCAACCAGAAGCCTATCGAGAGCCTATCCACTCTATTTTGGATAATGAGCGAGTTATTAATTAATTAGTAATGGGACACAAGGTGTCACTATGGAGTACGAAGGCTGTTTTGGGGGATCCCCTAACTTTCGAACAATATTCTCGTTTTATTCTTAAGTCTTTGGAAAGGGGCCACAATTTATGAAATTTGGAGAACCACTGCCCTAGGATGCCAAATTATTCTAAGCATGTCAGGAAGAATGGAACTCAGAAAAATATTGAAATGAAACTGCTTTAAAATCGTTTCTCACTACAAAATTCCCAGTACCCACAACGCAATTAGGTTCTATATAAAAAGCTCAAACCTGACAAAGTACTATCAACAGCATTACAAAAATCTGTTAGCAGCAAAACTAGGCATTAACATGAAAATGAATGGGGCGATGCCAAACTGGGGAGATTGAAAAAGATTCATCTCTGAGTGAAATTATGGGAAACTACTGGAATTAGGTGGGACACTGACACCGAATAGAGCTACCTAACACGCATTTACTCAAAAAGTAAATGAGACTCATCTCTTGAGTAAAATTATAGGAAACTACTGGAATTATGAGAGACATTGAAGATAATTGTGTTGTGCATAACGCAGATTGTTTGGACACAACATAAAGTTTTAGGACTGGGTTTCTCGAACTTTGCCTCAGCCTCTCAAATGGCCACGTAGCGGCCCTGGTGCCATTCATGATGACTATATCAAGTCTTGAGAGTCTTTAGAATGGGCCAACGATTCATGAAATCTTGAGAACCAATGCCTAAGGATGCCAAATTATATTCGATTCAATTTGGCCAACCCTGGGTGCACTTACTCAAAAGGTAAACGAAAGTCATCTTCAAGTAAATTTATGGGCGAGCTTTGTCAAGAGAAATGTTTGATATGGTGAGTCTTAAGAATACTCTCGACCACATATGTGAATTAATAACGAGTGTAGAAAATAGGAACCAATAAAACGATCTTTCTGCATTGTCAAATCACAATATACAAAAATTTGTCTCTGCTGAAGACGACCAAATTATTAAAAGGAAAAATTATTTTTGACCGCAGGGCTGGAGAGCTGAAACTTTGTTAGAGCTGGAACGAAGCTAACCACTAGATAGGGCGAGAGCTACCAGAAATTTTAGTGGCTCAAGCTCGTACCCATCTAATTATTTTTTTCATATTTAAAATTTTCTAACACTTTATACTAGTAATAATATTCATTCTTTTCCAGTTTATCAATATAAATAACACAATAATAACGTCCTCATAACGTTTTGAATACTGCTCCAGCAAGACTGCATTTAATTGACAGTTCATTGTAATGGTCATACAAAAAGACCTAAAAGCCCATCAAGTTGCGTACAGGGACTGAAATCTATGGGTAGGGGGTATATCCACTTGGCTAACACAGACAGTCCCTGAACTCCTTCTAGAACTGAAATAAGGAATATCGGAATAAAATTATGGCCTAACCCTAAGCTGGTACACATATTACGGGAGTACCCTAATTTGAATACACTGGGACCCAGGAGTTATTTTGTTTTCAAACCAGCTCCCCAGGCCTGCTTGTCATCGGGTAAAGTTCTTGCATAAAATCTATCATTCAATTCTCTCTTCAATAATCAGAGTTTCTTGCGGGAAAAGTTTGTGATCTTTCAGAGAGACTTTTGGGTCCAGAGACGAAATATCTCGTTTTGGATACGAAGTGATAACTCGATATTTATCGTTCAGATAACCCAGAGAACCGACGAAGTTAAGAAGTCCTTGCAGAGACTCGGACGCCAGAAATGTTCTGGTCACCATATCACCCCCACCCGGTGGACGGAAGCGTATTTTGGCGACCGGAAATTCGCAATCAGGTGATGGTTCTTGAGGCACAATCTCTCCTAAACGCTCAATCTGTTCGTTCTTCTCTTGCTCTTTTCTTTCCTCTTCTTGCTTCTGTTTTTCCAACTGAGCTCGTTCAGCGTCCAATTTTATTTGCTTTTCCTTGTCCTGTGAGAAAAAACTATTCATTTAGGATTTTAATATTTACTTTGCAGGAGAGAAAAGCCCACAACATATGGCAAGCCATGGCCTATCATCTGGTTACCAGTCCATGTCGGGTATAAGGTTAGTTGGCCAGTTATTTGTTTCAGATGAATGGGCTTGATGGTGGGGTAAAGACCAGAAGTTACGTAAACCACACTATGGCAGGTGAAGCGTCCAGCGCTTCTCTCGCACATAATTATTAAATACGATATTTGAACTCGCACATGGTTATCATAGATGTAAACTCTCTACCGCAGCAGTTCTAAGTGGGAGTCCATGGCCCACATACCATGGGGTCCACAGTGCGGTTCGAGAGGGCCAAAATGTTAGCCCAGAAAAGATTTTGAATTTTCCAAAAAACTGCCCATTCTTACTTGTTTCATTTCTTGATAAAGTTACTTAACTCTTTTGTTCCGTATAACATATATATTCGTACTACCATCCTTGGTCATAATAGTTATTTTCGGACTATTTTACGTTTATGTTCATGTTTTGTGAAGTATTCGGCACTAACTAAATCATTTTGAGCATCCAACTATGATCCGTGCTTGATCTGTCAACATTTTGTTTTTTTGTAAATTTTTTATTTTACTACTAAGTGAATTTTATTTGTGTAGGTATTTCAAAGCTTAGAGATACACGGAAGTATTTGTCATTACTTCAAAAATAAGTCATTTGAACGAGCGGGAAACAATTTCGCGCACATAATAAACAAACAAAGATTCCAGACAACTATCGTGGACATGCTCTCACATATCATTGATTATTTCGCGTTTCGCTTCGCTTGCGAAGCTGAGTCTGGTTTTTCTTCAAAGGTGACGTAACTCTCTTTCAGAAGAGCGCTTGGAATTTCGTTTCTTTGTAACACGTGTTCATCGAAGCGATAAGAGTGTGAAACGTTCTCTCAAAAATTTTTGAAATTTCTCTCTTCTTACACGTGTAGGGTCGAACGGTTTCGCCTACGTCATTTGGGCGCGTTTTAGTAGGAAGACGCGAAAATAAGCTTTTTAAAGAGATATTGGGGGTGTTCCTTGTACGTTTGGTTAACTGGTCATTACATATTATAAAATGGTACATAAAGTCGATTGTATACAGCGGAAAAAAAGGGTTAATAGGGTGTTTTCACTTAGTTGAGCATGAATTGTTTGAACATAACAGTATTTGGAATCTACCAATAATAATAACACTCCTAATACCACTGGAATGATAAACAGAGGGCCACGAGTGCTAAAAACCTCCAAAAGAAGGAAGGGCATGGGCACAAGCCATAAGATTGAAAACCACTGCTCTACTGCTTGGCGCTGAGCTCGAATCATTTCTGGTATTAAAACAAGATTGGGAGAATAAGTGCAACTAAGGATTGCGCAGTCAGGGATAGCGTTGGGAAATTTCGAATACTTTCAGAATCAATCAAATATTTTTTTCGAATCAAATCTTGAATACTATTTGGGACATATGTCATTAAAACTTGATTTTTTTTCTTTATAATGGATCCTCCAGACACAAAGATCACTGAAAACATAGAATACATCACCGATACAGTTTGGGGAGCGTTCACACTCGACAAAAAACTCATTAGTAAGAAAAATGTCATATGCCAGGATTGCATTGATAAAAAAATGGCTCCAATGAAAAAATATTGGAAAATTTTGCTCTCGAAAAAATGTATGTATGTTATATTGTATGTACCAATTTGAATAACTTACTATTCGATTTGAAATTTTCAGCCCTAGTCAGGGACAAAATGGAAACTTAGAAATTTTTCGCGGTTTGGGTTCTAGACTTCTAACCTGCTGTAGTGAAGCATCATACGCTTCCTCCTGCTCTCTCTTGATTCTCTCCCTTGCTTCACTCAACTCTTCCATCCTGATGTCTTCCTGCTTCTGAGCCTCCGCATCCTCCACTGCTTTGATGAGTTTCACCATCAGTTCATCCAGAGATGTGTTGCCTGTGGATTCAAAAAGTATTCAAAGTTTTTATTTTGCTCTGAACAAGGCTCAACATAAGCAGCAGAAGGATGTGTAAGGAGTATACAATATTCTGTAGGACTGGAATCTTTTTGGATCAGCAATTAGTGGAATTAGAACCCAGATAGTATTATCTGCGATGCTAAGATAATTGAGTCGAACGCTCTAACCCTATCATGGGTGCTGCCACAACCAAACAAAAACCAAATATTGACGTTTCAGCTAAAGAGATTGTGATTGAACTTAGTTTTGGCACAATGCTTATTGTTTTCCACTTTTGCTTTTGTAACACTGTAAATATTGTTTATAAAATGTCCTTTTTAGTCACACCTACATGGCCCGCCAGCCTATATAAGCAAAATTTTTGGCCTTTGGTCCAAAAACCTTGCCCACCCTTGCTGTAACAGCAAGGTGCGAAACAAATATGTGAGAAAATATGCATACCAATGAGGGGTAAAGCTGTAAGTTGTTACCAACAAACAGTTACACAAACCACTACTCTTTGGCTGGGAGTAGTCTAGCAATTCTCTTATTTAATAAAAAAATCTGAGAGTGAAACCTTATACAAACCTTGTATTATACTGTTGACATCACATGACCTTCCACGACCTTGAGCAAGTACGAGCATTGGAAATCCATCCTTTGGAACTCGCTTAACCGTGTCCGCCACCCCACTCCCCAGCATTCGAGTGCACATGTCTGGAATTTTAAGAAGTATTTTTTATTGTATAGCTTATACAACTTACACTCTGAACAAGGCACTATATGAACAGGTAGGGAGATATTATTGCTCTTTTTGGTATAACCTGTTGAATGTATCTTTATTGTATTCAACTTTATTTTCCTGGATGGCTGAGCATGCTCTCTGATGTCATCATTCACAGATGACTGATCATGACCAACCAGCCGTTGAGGTAAAGACATGAATGAACATGGTTGGTGTGTCTTGGGAGTCACTTTGGTTGTGTGTATGGCCATTTACTAAATATATGTCTATACTGAGTTAACATTCTCAATCTATAAGTATCCTATGAGAGGTGGTGGGCATGGGATTCTAGCCATATATTTTAACCTGTGACACAATCATAGTAGATAACTGAACCGCCCCCACAAATTTATATTTATGACTCTAATCCAGAGCTACCCAAACTTGCGACCCTTGCAATATATTAAAATTTCCCATACCCCGCCCCCACTAGATATAGTACTTTGTGTGGAATTAGTGTACGCAGGGATGGCCAATACCGAATAGTTCACTATTTCGAATACATTCGAAATTATTATTTTCGAATATGAAATTTCGAACACTTCGAAAATAAAATCCAGTAATAGAATCTAAGTCTATGAAGGAATTTTCATACAATAAACAATGGAATCACTTCTATCTACAACCTGGCTATATTACCAGGCATTTCATGTTTGCAGATTATTGCGATATATATTTTATATAACATGATTTGTGTTAATTAACAGAATTAAAATAATACGACAAGGCATTTTAAATAGTGGTATCGGTGATGGATTTGAATGCTTGCGCAACACAAAATCATCCTAGTATAACGCCCATACTTTTAAATACCAACCATTATTCAAATTATTTGTCAAAAAGCGGGATAAAGTATGAGTTCTTTTTCAGACTTGTGACAATTTTTTCGTGAGTACAAAAATACGAATCAAAAAGTAATTATATTCGGGAACTTTACCACACATTTTAAGTCCGCAGATCGCCGTTGTATGTTTGTGTAATAATACTTTTATTATTTCATAAATACGAAAATAGGGTTCAAAAACTATTTATAATCGGGTAGTTTACCACACATTCAATGTCCACAGATCACCGTTGTATTTTGTAAATACGAAAATAAGATCAAAAATTAATATCAATCGCGAGTTTGCCTCACAATTTATGTCCACAGAATGCCGTGATATTGTGCCCGAATATAATTAATTTTTGATTCTTATTTTCGTACTCACGAAAAAAATGTCGGAAGTCGGAACAAGTCGGAAAAATAATTTATACTTCATTACACATTCAAGTCCACAAATCGTCGTTGTATTTTTGAGTTATAATAGTTTTAATATTTTGTAAATACGAATCCGAAATTAATTATAATTGGGCAGTTTACCACACATTTCATGCCCACAAATACCCGTGGTATTTGGTATTAATACTTTCATTATCGATACTTTTGACCATCATTATCAAAATTATTTGCCAGAAAGCGGGTGAAAGTATTTTTCTAATAAATCAACTTGTTTCCCAACTTGTGACAATTTATTGGATATCGTAACAATTACGGCTATGAATACCGTATTTCCCGGCTAATAAGTCTACATGGCAAATAGGACGATGTATATTTTTAGCACTCAAAAAAAGGGGTTTTTCCATATAGGCCTCCAAGAAGACGGGTAGAAAAATTGTTCCCTGTTGTTCAGTTATGCTAATGTGCGCTAATAATAATGTTTAGAACCAGATCACGTTTGTTTAGTAGAATCATACTCACAGAATTAACTATTTTTAACAATAAAGCGGTAATTTTAAGTTAAAAATCACAATCATTTTGAACAATCTATAATTTTATTGGGTCAGAACAGAACCAGATCGTGTTTGTTTGGTAGAACCATACTCACGGAATTATCTATTCTCAACAATGAAGCGGTGAATTTAAATTATAAAGCGGCAATCATTTTGGACAATCTATCAACCCGAATGTTGAAATAATTTTGGAATGTGGTAAGTACCACGCGGTACGTCCACGGGTTAATTCACAGCTGTGTTTCATGTCCCTGTCGTTTTCTGCTGAATCGGCAAAACCAAAGGGTCATAAATCACTTACTTTATCTCGGTGGCCGTGTTTTCTCTTTTAAGTAACGATAACCGGCCTACGATTAAATATCATGATTGGCAGACTCATAAGAACCAAATATAAAGTTAACACAAATTATGCTTGAGAAGACTAATGCGAAAAATAAGCAGGCCACATAGAAATAAAATAAACATACTTTCTCAATAAGGCGCCCCTCCCCCCAAAAAATCAAGCCAAAATTGGGTCTAGAAAAGCGACTTATTAGCCGGGAAATACGATGATTGTCGATTTTTCGACTAATGGAAATGAATTGGTGAATTAAAAGACGAATGTCGGCAATGTCCACCAACGCAAACGTGCAAATGTGTCGCAACACTATGCGACGTACATTCGCGCTGAATATAAACAATCAAAATGCCGATTCTATTTCATCGTCATTACAATACGTGAGAAAGCGTAAAAAGTCGTTTGAAGATTCCGGTAAAACGAAACACCGTGTCTACGGCGAAAAGTGACTACTATTCGTAATTATTCGGAAATGAGCCGAAAAGGTATTCGAATACTTTGATATTCGAATAATTTCGAATATTCGATTCGTTTTGGACAACCCTGAGTGTACGTACTCATTGCCAATCTAAAATTCGTTGTACGCCCCCACTCTCCCCCTGCAGGGTCGCGACCCCCAATTTGAGTAGCCTTGTTCTAAACAAGAGATGGATGAAATAAATAATTTAATAATCGGAATGAGTGTGAAAACATTCTGAGAAAAAAGCATAACAAAGGCACTTACCCAGCATTCTTTTTCTATTGAAGTCAGAAGTGACATCCCAAGCCCAGATCACACAATGGTTGGCCATGTATTCCACGACAGATGGTGCACACAGGAGCTGGCTGCAAAATACATTGCTCTGAATACTTTTATCATGGTGGAGATAGACAGCTAGAAGTCGACGGTTACGTGCTGATCCACCGAAAGCCTCCTGCAGATTGAATTTGGGAATCCTATTAGTTAAAGTAGTTTGATGTAAATGGCCTACCGTGTTTCCCACGAAAATAAGACTGGAGCTTTATTTGGGGTGGGGAGGGGGGGGTCTTTTATTTTCATTTATCGAAAAAAAAATTACAAAGTAGAGAATTATAAATAATGGATATCCATATATTCATAAATACCCCCACCCAGTGAAATTTTCGTAAAACTAAAAAAATCCAAATGCGCACAAAATTTACGCAGGAGTTTTTTATTATAATCGCCTAGTGTTTTCGTAAGCGTTACCTGATTATTTATTATACATCACCTTTATATCGGTTCCGTACATTTTGTAAAACAAAGTATATCCTTTGTGTGCGACAAATCCACAATAATCAGTTTTTCTCGCAGTACCGTGCGCTTTCGGCGAGAGAAACGCGTTACCAAAAGTTAGTTACACCCTTGCGCGGTACTTAAGAACGCACAGGCAAAATTTATCAATACGCCCCCGCCGTTTGCATTCAGTGCCCTCCTATGTTCGATTCAGTGCCCTCGTTTAAACTTAGAACGCGCTAATAGAACACATTGAATTTTACTTTATTTCATTAGTTATACGTTATTTACATTTAAAATTCGAGATTGACAGAAAATTTTTGTGTCCGTCCGTACTCATTCTGTCGTTCACATACGATACTTTGCCCACTAAAATTAAAGACACAATTTATTACACACGCAATGGTTTTTATTTTTCAAGTTTTTTTCAATTTCCGACGAGACCGCACATCTTTTTCCAGATCATTATCATATTTGAAATTATCGATTTAAAGCATTTAAATTGTAACAAAACATGATCCTATTTGGAAAAAAAATAATTGATGATAGTTAAAGAATTTACTAGTAAAATCATGGGATTATTACATTAGTAAGGTTACGTAGCAAAGCGATAGAATCGGATAAATGTTACGAAACAGCCTATAATCGAGAAATTCACGACCGAATGAAAATCAAACATGTTTGCGACTTCGTCTAACATGGCGCGCCTATAAATTAGGACACGACTCGAGCGTGTACACGATCGAGTTACACGCAATCGCAATCGCGCATTGAAGTATAATGTTACTATGGCACCGCATTTTGCAGTTATAAATTATACTTTCGATGCCGCATCATCATAAGAAACATGTTTTTATCAAGTTGCATTAAACCATTCGTGACGCGTAAAGCATCATCAGCAGTATCAGCATAAAATATTTTATTATGTTCGGTATGTTTATGTGGTATTATTTTGGGTTTTATACACTATTTACTTGTTCTTGTTTAGTATGTTTTTAATATTCAGATATCTAAATTTACGTTTCAAATGTCCTCATCAAAAATATATATTTTTCGCAACCGATAAATCAATATGAGCTAAAAGTCGCATTTACCGAGTACCGTAATCGCGGCCAGGGATGGCCAATTCGAATAAAGTATTCGAATGTATTCGAATATCTCGTCATTCGAATATCGGAATTCACGTTCATAAGAATATCGGATATTTGCCCCGACGCCGCTTTCAAGACGTTTCCGTTGAATGAAAACATTCTCGATAGAAACTTGCGCGTGATTGTTTTCATCACTCATCAGCGTAACGTGTTATTTAGGCCCGTAAACGCCTTTACGATTGTGTTATTTTCTCTAAAACGAAAATTTTCCACAAATTTGTTCCACGATAACGATAACATTTATTTTATTTTTGTATGCGCACGGAATTGTGAATCTGGTAAATACGTTCATCGGCGGCGAGTTTCTAAAGACAACGCAACTTTTTGATTGAAAAGCGGCAATTTAAAATACTGAAAATAAAACCGTAAATAACATAAGTTTTATTGAGGCCCGCGAAAATTTAAAAAACGCTTTTCTAGGCAGTGAAAATCGCAAAATTTCGTGTGCCTCTGGCACACATTATGTTTGGTCGGCGTTTAGAAACATATCGTCACTAATTGAGGGCGGGATTTGCCTGATTATCCATTACTTTAAATTGCCGTCGAATATTTTCGTGTTCACACGATACAAGGTTTGAAACGCGACTTTTTCCCTGGTTGTGAGGATGTATATAATATAATTAATCTTTTTTAAGTATATTCAATCAATTTTATTGTGATGAAATAAATTTTACTCTGAGATATTTTACTCTGAGCATTTCGATCGAGCGGAGTCACTGTTAACAAGTACATCTAAATATTTGCCGAATTCGCAATATACGGATAAAAACAATATTTAATCGGACAGTTTACCTCACGTTTTTATTTTTATGGCCGCTGTTTGCAACGGTATATAAGAGTGGTGAAGATTTTATTTTGTCGACGCAACCGCAGGATAAATTGAAGGCAATTAAATTAATAAGAGCAAGACATTTTAAATATGCCCGTGTCGGTCACGAATTCATCACTTTGCACAACAGAAAAATATTTATTCCTTGTTATATTATTTGTTGTAAAAGTCGACTCTTTTAACAGGTGGCATAATCGCGGCGATGAATATGTATTTATAATTTACTGCTAAACTTTATATGTATATTCATTGTATGAAATGAATTATTCTCTACACTTAACAGGATTTTATATAATTATTTGAGATTTTTCTAACGGCGATAACGAGTTGGCAAGATTGCAAAAATACATATTAAAATTAAATACATCAGGCAGTTTATCTCGTACTTTTAGGTCACAGATTGCGGTGGACCGAAAAGTAATGTTTTTTTTGACGTAAGAAGAAGCAACCGCAGTTAAATTAATATATAAAGATATTTTAGAATCTCGTAGTTGGCATTAATGTAATATTTTGGGCAACAGGAAATTCATAATACGCTAGAAAAGGCGGCTCTATTAACGAGCGCGTGTTCGTGGTGACTGTTACAGACGACACTGGAAATTTTCGATTTTGACCCCCCCCCCCCCCCGCTTTTGAAAATCCTGGCTGCGCGCCTGGCCCTACCACATTTTTATTTCAATCAAATGCTTGACATAGATTATTCAAAATAGATCATATCATCATACTTTGGAATGTTTTGCAAGTCACTACTACAGTGTTTCTTCGAAAAAAAGACATGGTCTCATTTCAATTTACTCTTGAAAAGAAACTACAATAGGACTTCTTTTATTAAGGGGACGGCTTATATTAAAATCATTATTAAAATTCAGGCTAGGTCTTATTCTCATGGAAATACGCTAGTAGCAACACAGATCATACATCCAAGATTTGAACCCTATGCCACCTCGTGATAAATTGTGTAGGCAATGGTGGAAGATTCCGGCCTTCCAAATGACAGTAGCTCTTTACATATTGACAGATATCATTAGCTGATTGTACATTGCCTTGTTCTTAGCGAAGGTGAGATTTATTTTTTGAAATACATAGATTCCAAATTGAGCCGTGTTCAACATGGAATATAGAAATATAATTTCAATACTTCAATACCTGAATAGCTGCATCCAGCGTGTCGATGAGAAAGCTAGGAGTGACATGGGCTTCCTGTCCATATCGAGAATTAAACTCAGACTGGAACTGAGCGAGAGCACCGATGTCGTCTGTGGCTTCTTCAGGCATTAGAGGACGCAAACGGGTCACTGTAGGAACATCTAACAGAAATTCGTCGTCTAAATTCTCTGAGGCCTCTTCGTATTCATCCACCTAGATGATTAATTATCAGTGAATAGTTTATGATAGCACGATACGAGAGTGCAATGTTGAATTCTATAGGACGTTTATTAGCGCCTTTTGCTTTGAACAGACCTGTAAACACATCCACGATATCTAACAATACCTAGGATGATAGTTTATTTGAAAGAGCCGAAATCTTTCTAGTTTGTCACTGCCTAACCAAATTATTACAGTACTCCCAAACAGGGGCGCAGCCGGGATTTTTAAAAATTTCCAGTGCCGCTTGTAATAGTCACCATGATCACGGGCTCGTTAATACAGCCGCCTTTTCAGTGTATAACGAATTTTCTGTCGCGTAAAATATTCAATCCATGACAACTACAAGATTCTAAAATGTCCTTATATATCAATTTAATTGTGTCGAACGTAACTCGCGGTTGCGACTTCTTACGTACGTCAGAATAAAAACAATACTGCAGTGAAATGCCTGATGCATTTAATTTTGACACGTACTTTTGCAATCTTGCAACCTCGTTATCGCCGATAGTAAAATCTCGATATATGATTTTAAATCACGTTTAGTACAATTTTACTTCATACAATGAAAATAGATATAAAGTATACCAATAAATCAAAAATACAAATTCACCGCTCCAAAACCCACACCGAACAGTCGCCACGAATACGATTACGCCACTTGTTCAAATAGCCGGCTTTTTCAACGAAAAATGGTTTTTCTCTTGTGTAAAGTAATCAATCCATGACCGATAAGGGCATATTTAAAATGTCCTGCTTTATTAATTTGATTGTCTTCACTTTTAACCTGCGGTTGTGTCGAGCCGTCGACAAAACAAGAGCCACGCTAAAACACCACAGAATTCAGCGGACAAAAAAATGTGTGGTAAACTGCCCGATTACATATTGTTTTAATAACACTGAATCCGTTCAATCGCAATGATGCCACTCCAATTATTTTAAAAAATAAAACCTTTCGAAAAATCTTTAAATTTGCCGTAAATTCTCATGGAGTAAAATTTATTTCAGTAGAATGAAATTCGACTCCGAAAACCACCCCCTGGCCGTGCCACTGCTCCCAAAGTATGCGTACCAGGTTAGGGTTAGGCCTGTGTTAGGACTGTCTGTGTTAGCCAAGGGAATATACCCCCTGCCTATAGCAATCAGTCCCTTTACACAACTCGATATAAAATCCTTTGTGTGTCATGCTTAACACGAGTCACAGTTCCAGTGTCTGCCATCTTGGTACTCAAAGCACCCTTATTACACCTCGCGTTGGCGTGGGATTTGATTAATGCATTAAGCACTAGACCACAGTCAAATTGTTTGGTCAAATTCTTATAGTGGTTGTTGAAATATAGCTTGCCCCCAAAACCAATGGAAGAATCGATTTCAAACTATCAGGTGAACATAGTTATTACAAACCTCCATATTGTCCTCATCTGCTGTCAGGTCAACAAACGTAGTCGATGTCGCTTTCGTCTCTGTTATGGAACACCTGTAGAATATTTAAGAATGATATAGCCATTTTGTAATTTCAAAAAATGGAAGGAAAATTTTTTTGTCTGCACTGTGGAAGGCACATCTCACCCACAGACCAAATTACAGTCCCAGCTGCAAACAATTACATGTAGCGTTCATTTGGGGCTTTCTAGTAGTTGCAAGAACAAAACTTTGGTTATTGATCTTGTGACATGCGTTGTTCGTGTCGCATTTCGCAATGCAAACAGATTGGAATAACCTACTCGTACCAGATTAAAATAAATAAAAAACTAGCTTCATGATCCACAAACCATTTAAAATTTGCACTTTTCCTCAAGTCGCGCAATTTTTCATTGTGGGCGGCATTTGGCCCACGTGCCACAGGTTGCATATCCAACGCAAAAATATTATATATTTACCTGTGCTTTGGTAAATTAAGTCCAAGACTTCCCAGAGTTCTGTCAGGAGTCAGAAGACTTTTATCTGAAGCTAAGGTATTCCACACTTGCTTGCTAGGTGGGATACCGGTGAGAGAGTGGGCATCAAAAGTCAAATCTTGAAAGGTTTTGGACCCGAGAAAATTGAGGCTGTAAATACTTTTAGTCCGTATATCCGTGATTTCTAACATATAAGTTTCTTTGAGTTTGTCAAAATCGTCTTTGAAAGCAGCGCAAGGCACTGCAAAGTCTTGAGAGGTCCCGACAGTTACCTTGTCACTGAGGCCGAATGCAGCACCGTTATGAAATGCTGAACTGCGAACCGTCAGAGTCACATTTAGGGGCAGATGGAGAGAGCCGAGTGCTGTGCTATCGGACATTATGTCCGTGCCTGACTGCGGCCAGCCATCAAATCTTGCTTCGTTTTTTGGTATTTGTAATTCCATGGATGCAACGTCTCGCAGCGTTCCTAAATTTGCTGACTCATCCAGTGAAACATGCCTTGTCGTGTCATTCAATCGCACTTCGAAGTGTATCATTCGAGCTGAAACACAAGGATCGAAGTTGATAAACAATAAAGCATGAAAGCCTTACCAGCAACAGTAAAACTCTTAACAACCTTCTAAGGCCTAAAATTCAACAAGCCACAGTATTTAATGATGTGAAAAACACCAATATTTCTTGAAGGACCAAAATTGTCTTAATTCATTACATTTGGGGTGTTTGGAATAGAATTTGAACACAATATGTTATACCTTGCAATGCTAATAAAGTTGAGTCCACGCTTTAATAACAGCTAGGCCATCGTCTCTAAGATCTGAAGAACCCAATCAGTGATGGCAAGAAATGATCATCCTACTATTTATATTTATTCCAAATTCTGGAAATACTTCCACACATGGGTGCAGCCAGGTAGGGATGCGGTTACGATAAAATCACTTAAATCATCGAATTCAAAAAGCCGAGGCCCATCACTAACATATGATGAAAAGAAGAAATCCCTGAACATAAGAAACTAGAAACTTACGTTTGCTTGTCGAGGGCTCAGAAACAATGCCAAAGTCAGTAAAGAAGTTTTGAGAAGAGAAGTCTTCAGTCACTGGTTGTTGGGGCGATGGGGAGGAGGAAGCTGATAAAAAGATTTAAAAAAGTTGCGACAGCTTAGTAGTGTGGAATTCACTCTCTCATAGCTGTTTTGATATTCATATTTTTTATTATATATGTTTAGTATAAAAATTTTCGCTCCAAACAAGACCCTTTACAATCAGCCAGTGATATCTAACAATGAAAAAGTCGTGACATTTCTGCTAGGCCATCGGACCTTCCTCATTATTTACTAATGAGCAGATTTAAACAATAATTCTTTATAATTCTTCATGGCACTTTAGTGGTCATAGGTTGTAACATTGCTCAGAGATCATTGACCTTCTTTTATAAATAGATAGTTTCGCTTATAATGATGCATTTCCATCAGTTATTTTATGCTTCATATTTAATAATAGGAACCCAAAATAGCAGACAAATGTATGCTTCACAGTCAGTGAATCAAGCATATCATAGGGAGTGTACTTTCAATGGTACCTAGTGGACGTGTCTGCTTGTGGCCCAATAACAACTAATTTATGTCCCCCTAAATAGTTTAAGAACCCACGACTGGTCAAATCTTTCTCTTATTAATGACTCACCAGCCAAAGCCACATTGACAGCTTCATTCATATTCCAGTCGCATTGTTCAAGATGGGCGATGCATTGGCTGATATCTTCGATTCCTGGGTGAAATAAGATTTTCAAAATTAAACTCTAGTCGCCTGAGGATTCGTTTCTACATATAGATTCAAAAATAGCAACAACATTATAAGGCATACAGGTATACAAACTTTTCACTGTCTGAATGATTTTCCACAGATGTTCCGCCTATTGTTCCATTCTGATTTCTAGGCGGCAAATGATGATTTCAGATATGACTTTCATAATTTTAAATTTTTCGGTCATGAAAAGTAAATTGAGAAACTACTATTTGAGCGGTTTTTGGAATAAATTAATTTAGAAATTTTCAAAAATCATTATTTTTTTAAAAATGTTGAATTCGACAGAAAAACAATAAAAAAAATTTCAATCTTTTACACAATATGCAAATCTTGTTACAAATAATTTATTGGTGCACATTTATTGCCAAGGATTTCATCGACCAGTCAGTATTGCTGTATTGACATATACCGCTACCTGCGGCACTAGTACAACTCTCAACCCTTGACGCTAGCTATGTAATGGGGTCTGGTATAGTTTAGTACCACATGCACTGCTAGTTGGCCTGGCTCAACAATTTTTGCATATATCATTCCTAACCCCCACCTGACTATGTCACCAAAAATTATGTCACTACGACGCCACAATGACGTAATAAATACCTACAAAGTGTACCGATGGTCGTCCAAAACGCGCAGACGATCACCCATAATCGAGCCTATCTCTCTCATTTTCTCGTCGCAACGATCCCGATACAGCGATATGAGAGAGACCGCTGGCGTTAGTGAGTTAGCCATTTCGGACGATAGTAGCTATACTTGGCAAGCTCAGTGTGATTGTATTGTCGTAGTGACGTAATTTTTGGACGACATAGTCAGGTGAGAGTTACGAATAACATATACAAAATTCGTTATGCTATGCCAAATGGAAGTACTTGTGGTACTAAAGTATACTAGACCCATGTAATGAAAGTAGAACAAAAGCATAACTCTAGTCTAGTGATAAAAAATATCTGCTGGGCGAAACGTCCGTGGGGCAAAATTTCTGCATAAGAAAAGTTTATTGGCATTACCTGTGCAAGCTTGGAAATTTGCCAGTATCTCATTTCTATCCATTTTGTCAGCGCTAAGCTGGTCCGAGAGTTGTTAGATAATAATATAATCCAGCAGTAGTTTTTGAAATTTTAGGTTTATTGTACTGTTTAGAAAGCTCGATTCCTTTGGAAAATTCTTCAGTACTGAAAACACAGCAGCAGTCAGATAACAGAGTCGATAATATTAAAACTGAAAGGATAAAAATTAGAAAATAAAAGTTTATTGACATATACCTGTATACTGGGCATAAGAATTGTTAGGCAGCTGATATTCTCAAAGTCCTAAACAATCTTCCCTCTAATTTTTTGTAGTATGTGTGCGCAGAAATTTAGGTGTGTGCGCACTTTTTTGGAAATGACCAATATTTATGCAGAAACCAAGAAGAAATTTGGCATTCTAACCGGGTAATGGGTAGGCCAACAACAAACTTTCTCAACCTGCCAACCGAGAACATTGTTACATGATATCGGAAATACGTCTGTGCGCAGTGGATTTATGCGTGTGCGCTGCCTCTGAAAGCTAGGTGCGCGCGCATACGCACACACCTTAGAGGGAACACTGGTCCTAAACCAAACTAAATTAAGTAGCTCTTCAATCAATAGGTATACAGGTATGGGCTTTATTTACATTTCATTACATGCAGACACACATTCTGACATTACAGCATTATAGATTACCACGTTCGGGTTCGCAGGTTCAAATTCTGTGGGAAATACTTATGTGCGAGAGTTGGTGGATTTTCATATTTCCCAGCCATGGCAGCATGGTGGGGTGGTTGACGTAACAACTAGTTCATAGTTGGTTGGGGCTCACTCCACCATAAATACTGACATATGAAATGAATAACTGGTAGATTATTCCTACATACAGACATAAAATACAGTAGAACAGAATAAGAGACTAGACTACAGGACTAGGCTATGGTTCGCTCTGGCTGTCTGGACTGCCTGTTATAAATCACAGCCCAATCGCAGAATCGTGTCCATTTTGACGCAAAGAGTATTAAATTTCAGCCCACCTTCTGATTGTTTGTTTATGCTTCACAAGTTCAGAAGTTTGACGTTCATGTTTTTGTCTTTTTTATTTTGAAAATAAGTTTATATGCTGAATGTGGGTAATCTGGTGTATCATGATTGTCGCATCAAATTCAAGAATTTCGACAGTCACTGAGTCAGGCTAGTTCACACTGTCACAATTCAGCAAGTTTAATTTAGTTTAGTCTCCGAGTCCACCGTCAGACAGTGTAGGTAAAAAATAGTCAGTCAGTCAGTACTGCAGTAGCCTTGTCCTGATGACCCTATCCATGCTGTACCGGTATTGTTCCTCGCCCGTAATTCGAACGCTTGCAGTGTCGTTGGCGACGAGAAAATACAGGTATCGTAGATAAATAGTTTATTTCGAAAACTCCATAACAAACATAAATTAAAAATGGAGAATTCTGGAGGGCAAGCAAAACCTCTAAAAAAGTTTAAAACATGAGAAGTAGGTACCGTACCGGTATCTCATGTGCCTGCCCACTAATCGTAAGATCTAATCGTGCACTTTTGTGTTGTGTCTTCATTGATTCTTGCATGATAAAAATAAATTATCTGAATCTGAGACTATTCAGAAGAAATATAATCCCCACCGACAAACCTACCAATACCAGAACACAGCAATATAACCCGTTGAACAAAGGATGCGTACCGTACGGTACCGTACCGTATCTCTTCTGTATTATGGCGACCGAAACCAAATATTGCGTCACATTTGGCTAATGTATCGAAGATGCTAGAAAATTATTGGACACGTAGTGGACATAACGATCGTTTCAATATTTTGGACACGTAGTGGACATAACGATCGTTTCAATATTATGTTGTTGTTGTTGTTGTTGGACACGTAGTGGACATAACGATCGTTTCAATATTATGTTGTTGTTGTTCTTGTTCTTGTTATCCTTGTTGTTGTTGTTCTTTGACACGTTTTTAAAAAGTCGCTTTTCTCTTCGAATACTGGACCAATTGCTTTGAAATTTTCAGTGGTTGAAGATAAAATTTTTCTCCAGAAGGCTATTACTTTTTTTTTCGCTATGACGTCATCAAAATTATTGCCATTGGGTGGCGCTACGTGTCCATATATTTGAGCATAGCTCTCTTGTTCTTGTTCTTGTTCTTTGACACGTTTTTAAAAAATCGCTTTTCTCTTTGATTACTGGACTAATTGCTTTGAAATTTTCAGTGGTTGAAGATGAAATTTTTCTCCAGAAGGCTATTACTTTTATTTATTTCAAATATTTCTGTTAGCTCTGTAAGATTTGTTTTTGTTTGCTATGACGTCACTAAACGTTCTGCGGATATCGGACGCCATTTTGTGTCCAACGGACCATCTTGCAATTTCAATTCACGCTGTCACAAGACAAGACCTTCTAAAGATAGAGAAGTTCGGGTACCGTAACACAGCGCGGTGACACTGAACTAACTCGTAGCTGTCAAAAGCTTGAAAATCCATACAAATATGAGAAATAAAAAGATGAAACTTGGCAGGTGGGTAGAGTTGTGTTTCTTTTAACCATATTTGAAAGTTTCGCGTTTCTACATTTGAAGGAAGGGGAACAGGGGGTGTGCATTTCCGATACGTCGATAATATCTTTGTCAACCAATTTGCGGCCACCGTGTTTTCGTCTGTTTGATTGCTGTGATGTGGTGCTTTGTTTATAATTTAACGAGTTTTGTTCGAAATAACCGTGTTCTTGAAATATATGACGGTCAGAAATGCAATTAGAAGCTCAATGTTTTCACGCTGTCACAAGACCAACAATTGTCAACCAATTTGCGACCACCGTGTTTTGTCTGTTTGATTGCTGTATAGTCTCGACGCAGCATAAACGATGATCAAGGCTTGAAATCCGTGGTCGCACACTGGTCGTTCGGTCGCAAATACGTCTTTCGAGTGCCGTACTTTGGGGATTTGTATAGCTTCAACCCTTTGTCGTAGAAAGTTAATACGAGGTTTAGCGTGTAGAATAAATGCCGCCAATGCACCCACGGTGAAAAAATTAACGGGTTAGATATATTGGTTGTTGTTTTATAGCGGTTTGAATGAAATTGTCCGCAGACTGGCTACACCACCCTAGGCCTGGTGAGTTGTCCGTGTAGTCGAATTGTCCATCAGCCCTAAACGGCTATGACAGTCACTGTACCAAAAATTGTACCCCGATGCGGCTGGTGTTAAGTTGACGCATGTTATTTAGTAACGTTTTTATGTAAAATGTTTGACTGTGGTTCGGTACCTGATCCGATAATACGGTACATAATTGACTCATATCACGAGATATTTCAACTGATGTTTCAATTGTCACAGGACCTAAAATATCTATGACAGTCCCTGTACCGTCACGGTACCCCGATACAGGTACTGGTAAGTCACCGCCGGTATGTTAGTCGTTGGTCACCGCATATGATTTTTGGGGAATTGTTCTGCGTGTCCATATATTTGAGCATTGATCTCTTGTTTTTCGTTTAGCATGTGAGGCCGATAAATTTTTGTTTCGTTAGATTTTAATAATTATTTTCGCTAATAGTTTCGCAAGTTGGAATATCGTGAGATATATTTATGAGCGAAAGAATACGGTACCGGTACGTAACTGGACTTATAATCGTCGTAGGTGGGCGAAGTAGCCGCTAGCCAGTGCATGCATTCGGTTCGGGTTTTTGAAGCAAATAACTGTTTAAGAATAAAGCAAGTGGATAATTATCCCAATGAGAATATATACAACAAGAGAGCTATGCTCAAATATATGGACACGTAGCGCCACCCAGTGGCTGTACTGAAAGAAGTGTTACAGCCTTACAACGCGAAGTCAAAATTGATAGCTCAAACTTATGACGGCGCGGCAGTCATGAGTGGGTCGAAACATGGTGTTCAAGTTTATATAAAAGAAGATTTTCCTCATGCGCATTTTTACATTGTTATGCACACCAATTTAACCTCGTTATTAAAAATATGTGTCTTGATACCCCTCTCGTCCGTATATTTTTTGCAAATGTTTCGGGGTTTTCTTCATTTTTTGCCGTTTCGCCGAAGCGCTCTGACCTCCTTCGCCAGATATGTAGCCGCCGTCTCCCAGCTTGTGCACCAACACGTTGGAACTTCCAATCACGCGTGGTGCAGGGCGTGTCCGAAATTAGGTCTGAGCTCATTGAGTGTTTCAATGGCATTCAGAGCTCTCCGGTTTGGGACGAACGCTCTGTGAGGGAGGCGGCAGGTCTAAAGCGTCTGCAGGAAGATGGTGAGTTTTCATTTTTTCTCCACAATATTCTATCACGTGGATGTATTATACGGCGCATTGCAATCAAGGCTAATGAATGGAGCGTCTGTGCAGTGGTGTATTTCAGACTTCTGCGATGCTGTATCTCGTATCCGGAAAACAATAAAATACGACGACACATGTAGTGCTTCTTTACGCTGCGGGCAAACAACGCAGCGTTTGATTTTGTCTACAAAGGAATGCCGTAACATTCTGGTGAATCAAATAGGCGATCGTCTGCGCACTACACCTTGCCGCGTTCTCTTTGATGAACCCCAAAAATTTTTCAAAATTTGCAAAATTTCTGGACATCATTTTGACGACGCCTATTTCTTCCGCCGACGCAGAGCGAACATTCAGCACGCTGAAGCGTATTAAAACGTATCTCAGAAACACAATGAAGCAAGATAGATTAAATTCCTTGGCTGTTTTATCCATTCACAGAGACGTTATTTCTGGGATGCATGACTTTAATCAGCGCGTTATTGAGCATTTTGCTTCCAAGAAACTGCGGCGTGTTGCATATATGTCGAAGCAGTAGAAGTCTTGCAGCATATATATCTATGAGTGAGCGACGCATGTCCTTATCTTTGCATTAACTTTCCTTTCTTCATAGTAACGTTTTAAACCTTATTTTAGGTTTTGTCTGCTTTCCCGAGGTTTCTGTTAATATGTCATTGTATTTATCTGAGTAAATATTGCTTTTCCTTTTGAAAGAGGTTTCAAAATAAAC